TGAAAGTGGAGCGGTGGCTTGAGTGATATAGTACCAGCTTTTGGTTTAAAAAAAAAAAGAGCTCAGGGACAGCACCCAGGCTCTGAGTTCAAACCCCAGGACTAACACATGAGCCCCCACCACATATATCACAAAACCAAAGCAAAACAACCCCCAAGCTTCTGTAGTACCTAGAGTCTTGGAGCCCCCCATAGACCACCAGAGACCTTGGACAATGCAAGCGGCAAAGAGTCGTTTATTAGCACGGACCTCATGCACACCGTTGTAGGGGTGTTAGCAAGAGGCCCTGAACAAAGGGTTACAGCACCTTTTATACATTTTAAGGTAGGGGCAGGGCCCCAGTAGACACTCACAGCAAATGCCTATGCCACGCGGGAAATTTTGTAACACTCTTTGTAAAATGATTGGCGCGGGGTGACTCAAGGGGGATGGTTGCTTTGGATGATAAGGGTTAGGGGGAATTCTCATAGGTGGTCATTATCTCGGGGTCCAGTTCCCGGAGGAGGATCCGGAATATGTGTTAGCCATTGTTCCAGACTCTGGGAATGTCTGGGGCTTGAGGTCAGCAGTTAGTTATCTATCACAGTGGTTACATTCTTTAGAGTTTGTTGACACAGACCTATCTTTATACTTTAACGTTAGCAAAAGCAAGTTACAGAAGCGAAGTCAGCAGTTAGTGACTGCAAAATGGTGAATATAATTCTCAGTTCTTCACCTCAAATCCCTGCTAAGCTCAAATGTTTATGCAGAGAGAAGCTAGTTCAACTTTGACCTAGTCCAAAGTATTTTTTTTCTTTTAAACTTAACAACTCAAACCCAAGTTGTTCATTTTGAGAGTAAATGAGTGAAGATTTAAAACAAGTGCCTGACACCTTGCCAGCCCTCAATCGCTGACATGAATAGTTTCAAATGGGAGAATGTCAGAGGGATCCTGACTCACACATGGGTGTGAAGCCCGGATAGACTAGGGAAAATGAGGTATGGGAAAACTTACAACAAATACAGAGGATATCCATTCATGCACTTCCCCTTAAGATTTAAGGGAACAAAGTCATTTAAGGGAAAATGAAACAGAATAACCTGAGGAAAATGAGGCCTGGTGAAGACAACTCAGAAATATGGTATTTAGAAACATAGGAGTGCCCGCTTGACTTTAAAGAAAGACAACAGGATACATTGCATCCTGAGGGATGTGTTCCTCACTCCGAGAATGAACACTTGTCTGACAGAATGTATGCATTCCCGAGGGGAAAGAAAACCATGCATCCCCAAACTTAAGCTACCTCTTCTTATCTCAAGGATAAGGATGTTTTGTGGCAGGGTGTATCCTTATCTGCAAACTCAGACAGTAACACCAGGTGTGACTCCAGCAAAGAAAGCACCTAACTATCTTTACCTAACTTTGAAGCCAGATCCCCCTGCCTTTACCCTATAAATACTCCAACAGCCCAAGGAGCGCTCTCTCTCTCTCCCCCTCCCTGTGAGACCAACCACCCACACTCTGCTAGAGTGTTCCCCTACCCTTCTGTGTGTTTGTCTGCTTTTCGTCTGTTCGTCTGTTTGCCTGCCTGCTTGCTTGTTTATTTAATAAAGCTCCGCCAAATTTTCTTATCATGGTGATTTGTCCAGAAATTCTCATTCTGAGATCAAAGTCAAGGACCCTAAGTGAAGAGTTCCTATTTGTAAAGGGGACCATGACTAAACCTCACCTCCATCTGGTGACAGGTGGGTGCAGGCCCAAGGCTCACGCTGACTTGTGGAGTGATTTCAAGGTTGCACAATGGAAGGAGGCTCGGGGAGAATCATTTGTCTTCTCAGAAATAGGGAGAAGAGGACAACCAGACCCACTTGGTCTGGGGCTTCTTCTAGAACAAACTCCAGAAGACAAGCTATGGAGCCTTACCCATTCAGGAAATGCCTGTCTTCAACCATCAAGTAGCCAAATAGGAGCACTTTCTTCTTGGAGAAGGATCAGGGGGGAATCCAGAAACACCATATACCCAGGGTGACCCCATGAGGACACATAACACTACCCCTGCCCCCCCACTTCCCCCCTACCTTCACCCTCCTCTTCTATTCCAAGCTGCTGGCTTCCAAGAAGCAAGGCAAAATAGGAGGGAATCTCTGACTCTCTAATCCATCCTCTCCCTCCCTCTTTCCCCATCCTCCCTTCCCTTCCCTTTCCCTTTCCCTGTTTCTCTTCCCCCTCTTCCTCCCCCTCCTCCTCCTCCTCTCCATCTCTCTCTTTTGGGGATGACTCAGGAATCTAGCTCCATTCATTCGAGATCACCTGCATCCCATTCCATTCCCTCTGGCTCCCCCTGCTGTTGGCTCTTTAGGCAAATCATCAAAACCTAAGTCTAACCTTTAAAAATAGAAAAAGAGAATTTGCCCAGCCCAAATGAAGGCTAGAAAGCTAAAGTGTATAAAGAAAAAGAAAAACAGCCACCACCACATTGCTTTGGTAGATGTGATTTTCCTAAAGGAATGTTTAAACATTCGGTTTATGGGTGGACAACATTTACCAGCAGGGCCATCCCGAGTTATTTGGGAGAAGGAGAGCGCGCAGCCACGCTGCGGGCTGCCCCGGTTGGATTCTGGGTGAGTCCCTAGCAGCATGAATTCCAGCTTTGAGGACCTATGTGTGAAGTTGAGGGCCCAGATACAGAGCGTGGCCTTGGCTGGTGCTACCAGAGGGTGAGCTGTTCTGAGACTGGTCTGTTCTGTCACCTCCAGAATCCAGACAATACACCCCTCTCTTTCAGCTAAACCCACTTTCCTTCAACCCAAGCTTACCAGAGACTTCTTATAGAGACATCTTCCCTGACACCCCAAGATCCTCTCAGACCCCCACAATCTTTCCTTTGTGGCATGTATCACATTCATTTCAATTTTCTTGTATTCTGTGATGAATAATATCCTTAATCTCTCTACTGGGTTAATTATGGTAGTAATTGTGTCACACCCTCACCATAAACCAAATGTTTATGTTGGAGGTGTGTGTGTGTGTGTGTGTGTGTGCACACGCGCCAGTGCTGGTCCGTGAACTCAGGACCTGAGTGCTATATCTTAGTTTTTTGGTTTTGTTTTTTTTTCAAGGTTGCTACTTGTACCACATCTCCACTTCCAGCCTTTTGGTGGTCAATTGTAGGTAAAAGTCTCCCAGACTTTCCTTCCCTGGGCTGGCTTTGGCCTGCAATCCTGAAATCTCAGCCTCTTGAGTAGCTAGGATTACAGGTGTGAGCTACCAGTGCCCAGCCATTTGTTGAAGTGTTGGATTCCAAGACCTCAGTGTAAGAATCAAACTAAAGCCGTTTTGTGACAGCTTCTAACAGTTAACTTGTGTCAATCCCTAATTCTTGTTCTGAGTTAATGTTGCAAAGGTTGCAAAAATGAGTTAAACAATAACATGTCTGTGCAAAAATTTTGGGAACTGTTAATTAAAGATTGCAGAACACCCCAGAACAGGATGGTTTCGAGACCCAGTCAGCAGAAGATTATCCACAGGAGATGTCAGCCTCGATGGTCAAGCAGACACCTGGTCCCTGATCAATTAGAATCGAACTTGTCCCTAAACCATAGCATTGCTGTAATTTTGTGGTTTTTGCCTTTATAAGCCCAGCTATATTGTTGCTCGGGGACCCCCTCCCTTCCTCTGCTGTTTGTGGGGGTACAGGACGAGAGGCCAGAGCCTTGGCTTGTTAAATAAACCTTGCATTTTGCAATTCGGGTTGCCTGGTCTCTCGGTGGTCAGGTGGTCATCGGAGGGTCTCTGGGACTTGGGTATAACACTCAGAATGTGGCTGCATTCACAGAGTGAGTCTTTAAAAAGGTGGTTGAGTTGAAGGTCCTGAGGGTGGGCCTTAACTCATTAGCACAAGACAGGTGTCCTTAAAGAAAAAAAGGAAAGAGCTGGTGTGAAGACAACAAGAGACAGCCATTTGCAGTGTAAAGGAGACTTGAGAATGGAACCAACCTGCCAACACCTTGACTACACAGACTTGAAGCCTCTGGAACTCCAAGGAAACAAACCTTTGTTGCTGGGGCCACCTGGTTGGTGATTCCGGGTCACTGCAGCCCCCCCTGGAACTCATACAGGTGGGGACTGGGTTGGTTTTGCTTAGTAGACCCAATACCAAGTAGCCACTCAATACTCGTTCGCTAGAAAGTGAGGGTTGGTGCTGGTGGTTGGGTAGTGTACTGGGTTGCTTTGGGTTTCTGTTAGCTTCTACCTGGCTCTTCTCAGACATCTTGAGCCTTGCCTTTTAGTTTCAAGGCCTGAGACCTGGCTCTAGGTCTTTGTGTCTTTTCAGCTTAATTCACAACCCACCAGCTTCTGAGGATGAAGTATGGGTCCAGGAATGGAGAGACAATCACAAAGTAGAGAGTGTGGTTTTGGAAGATTCTTTCTTTCAGATAACTTTTTCTTTTTTTAATTAGCATACTTTAATTGTACAAGAAAGTTTTGCTGCAGTATTTCCATGCATGCATAAATTGTGCTTTGATCAGAATAACTGAAAATTGATCTCCTGGCATTTCTTCCTTCCTCAATTCTCAGGAACATTACTACTAATAATTTAGTGTATTTCCTTCCTTTTGTTTTTCCAACACATCTTTTCCTTTATTTTTTCACAGTTCTGTGCAAATCATTTCATACTAGTTTTTGAGCATAAAAATAGCTTTTTTAAAAAAATTCTAAGACATGATAAACTTCCCTTACACATTTTTATAGCTGTATAATATGTAGGCTATTGAGTTAGTTCACTTGGTTAGTCTTTTTCTTATTGTGTTGACATTGATTTTTTAAAAAGAAATTTAAACAATGCTGCAGTGAATTTTTTTTCTAGTCCTGAGCTTGAACTCTGGGCCTGGGTGCTGCTTTTCAGCTCTTTTGCTCAAGGCTAGCACTCTGCCACTTGAACCACAGCACCATCTGGCTGTTTCTGTGATTAATTGGAGATTAGAGGCTCATGAACTTTCCTGCCTGGGCTGGCTTCGAACCCTGATCCTCAGATCTCAGCCTCCTGAGTAGCTAGGATTATAGGCATGAGCCACCAACATCTGGCTAATACAGTGAATGTTTTTGTGCGCCAGTTTTTACAGTTTGAATCATTTCTTTTTAGATGATTTTTCAGAGAGGGGATGTCTAAGCTAAAGAATATTGCCAATTTTACAGCCTGGATGGTATAACCCAGTGATTTCATTCCCAGGAGTCAAGCTTTGAATCGTCCAGTGCTAGTAAGGGGCACCAGGGCTATGGCGCCTTGTTTTTCTTAGAAACAGCTAAAAGCTCTTAATAGAACTCAAAGGAAGACACTGAGGACACCTCTAGACAGCATTTTCTAGACTGCAGTTGTCTGTGTGCCCTGGGTCCACCATGCTCTTCCAGAACTTTCCAGGGTCATCCTGTGACTCTGGAGATGTGAATTTGGAAGTGATGTCTGTGGGCTCCTCCTCTTAGACTCTTCAGGGCACGATGGAGCCTTCCTAGGGTTGTTCTTCATCTCCCCCATTCTTGGTTTCTCAGTTTACCCCTTTGGATCTTTCCAGAAACTGTCTTGGGCAGTTCTGAAATAAACTCCACCTAATGACCACAAAAGCAAAAACACTTAGAAACCATCATTTCCCAGAAAGACTTTTTCCTCCCTTCGGTCTTGACAGACTCACTACTTTGGCCCACTTAATTGGACAGTTTCCATGATTCTAGGGTTTTCCATAAGAGAAGACAAAAAAAAATCAAGACAGCCAGAGCCTGGAGCATGTGGTCCAACTACCTTTGCCCATCAACTCTCTGTCGCTTCTAACAGTCAGAACAAAATGAGCTATGGGGAAAACCTGGTGAAGAAACAGAAGACTTAAGCAACAATGGAGTGGGTAGGGTTGGTGTGGGTCTCCATCTCCCCAGGATCTGGCACAGAGCCTGGCCCTTTAGGAGGGCGTAGGTAGCATGTACCCAACTGTTTTCCTCAGGTTCTATGTCCCAGAATTCCAGATGTTTACCTTCCTGGGGTATTTGTATGGGGCAGTTGTCTTTTTCACATGCTCCTGGAGTTCCCTTGTCAGCGCCTCTGGTTCGTGTGAGCTATAGGCAGGAGTAAGGACAATAAACGCCTTCACCACCTGCAGAGAGAAAAGCCCAGAAAGGCTCAAACCTTTGGTAGCCATGCATTTATTTTCCTTTTAGCTAGCTCAGTGAGTAAGTGTTCACATCTATCTACCACTCTGTCATGAACATCTACCAGGTCCCTGGGTCTAATCGATGAAGTGGACAACATTAGTTTTTCTCTTGTCTGTCCAAGACCAACAACTGGAAACATTAGCCTCTTTCTCTCTCTCTTTCTCCCTCTCTCTGTCTCTCTCTTTCTCTCTGCACACACGCACACGCGCACATGCCAGTTGTGGGGCTTGAGCTCTGGGCTTGAGTGCTGACCCGGAGCCTTTGTGCTCAAGGCTAGTACTCTACCACTTAAGCCACATCTCCACTTTTGGCTTCTTTCGATAATTAATTGGACACAAGAATCTTGCAGACTTTCCTGCCTGGGGTTGATTTGAATTATGATCCTCATATCTCAGCCTCCTGAGTAGCTAGGATTATGGCTGTGAGCCACTGGTACCTGGCAAAACATTGGCTTTTTAATGGAATGTTTTAAGAGCCTGACCTATTTCCTACTCTATTCCCTATACCTGCTCTGTCACTTTTTTTTTGGTGGGGGAGGAAGTCAAAGTTGTTTGTCTTAACAAGCAAGCACATTGGAGAAAGGAGATTCACACACTTGGCCGACCATTTCCTTCTGTTTTTTCCAGATTGGGTATGGGTTCAGAGAGACAAGATTGAGGACAACACCGCCACTTCTGAGAGCAGCTGGGTCTTTCAAAGTAATGTTTGCAGTTAGCAAGCATCGTGTGGCTTTCTTCTGTCCTAGGCATCCTAGGGACATTCTGCACCTTTTCCTGCCTATGCTCCTTTTTCAGGCTGCCCCCTGCCTTGAAAGAAGAGTCCTAGACTCATTCTCAACAGAAGATACCTTCTGATAGATATCAAAAGTCGGCATGGAGGCACAAACCTACAATCCCAGCTTCTGAAGTGGGAAAAGGAGGATCACTGTTTGAGGCCAATTTGGATAAAGTTAGCAAGACTTGTATTTCAAAGGCAAGCCAGGGGTTGATTTGGTATTCAAACTCTGTGGGAGGTGGAGGTAGGAGAATCTTGTTTTGAGTCTAGTGAGTAGGAGACCCTATCTGAAAAAGCCAACTCAAGTTGAAAGGATTGGGGACATGGTTCAAGTGATAGAGCACTATGGGTCTAGTAATCTAGTAATCTGAGTTCAACCCCCAGTAGCACCAACACACAAGGGGCTTGTTTGGTTGTTGGTTCATGCTGACAGTAAAACTTGCCCACAAGATCTTGTTCAGGTGTAGTTCACTGTCCTTGTGTACTTTTTGGAAGTGGGAGGGTCACTATCTCACTGTGAGTTTGTGTTCACACGAATCTAGTTTTCAGGAAGCTCTTCCTTGACTGCGAAAATCCCCAGATGTTTATTGAGTACTCATTATGTGACAGGCTGTCTGCTTTAAGCAGAGAGCAGGTGGTCATGGCTCCAACTCTGGTTAATTCAGCTGCACTTTCCCCAGTGTGATTTCTCTAACACACAGATGAGCATCACACCACCTTGTTCTATCATAGTTCACTCAATTTTTACCACAGTAAAACCCCCTTCAGCAAGGGGCTGCTGGATAAGAGTTTAGTGCCCCTGGGTGCACCCTCATAATCTGGTCTGATTCAGCAGCTCTGACTTCAAGTCTATCAACCTACAATGTAGGCTGGTACAGCTAAGAACAGCCCAGGGACCAGATTCTGAGAATCTATGCATACAAAATGTATGTGGCCCTAACTTCCACAAGATAGCAACTTCATGTTTTTGGATTATGTTGTATGTACAGCCAGAGAAAAATGTAGAGGTCTCTCTAGTAGTAGAACTTCCTCTTGTGTCTCCTCCGCTGAAATATCTCCTATAAAAACTCAGCATATTACATTTGGTCCCTTTTTTCCCTGGCATTTCCAGGTCATTTCATGGGGAGGGGGGTGGATTTACATAGTTGGCAATTCCCTCAGGTTAAATATCCTCCCTCAGTTAGAACCCTGAGTGACCATGACTAGTGAGCTCCTTATATCTCCCCTGCAAGTTAGCAAGGACTTTGACTGGACAGAATATATGGCAGAGCATCTGCATTTGCATCTGTATCTTTATCTGCATCCATGTCTATATCTACATCTGTATCTGTACTTCATTTATATCTGCATCTGTGTCTGTATCTGCATCCGCATCCACATCTGCTTCTGTATCTATATCTGTATCTGTGTCTGTCACTGAGATCTCTTACCCATTGGGCAGCCTCATGAGGATCATTTAAAGTTTGTTATTTGTCCATTACGTGCCTCTAGAGAACATTCATATCTTGCAAGGCAGGCGAATAGAGTGTAACGAAAAGAAATGTGTGTTCATTGTGGCAGTCCAACTTGCTAGCACTGGAGAAGAGGGAGACATATGGGGATTCTGGAGCTTCCTATAGGATCTGTTGGTTGCTAATAGGCATAGTCCTGGGCTGGACTGGTTACCTCTCCCCGGATGGGGTCTGGGCTGCTGACCACAGCACACTCCAGGACAGCTGGGTGCTCGGCAAGGGCACTCTCTACCTCGACGGGCCCGATCCGGTAGCTGGAAAAGAAAACCAGATTCTTTCAGGTGTCTTTCTTCCCCCTCTCCTGTCCTCCTGAGAACTTCAAAGGGAAGAAGAGCTCGAGGTCTTGACCTTGAGGAGTTGATCACATCGTCACTCCTCCCCAAGAACCAAAAGTAGCCATCCTTGTCCATGAAGGCTCGGTCCCCCGTGATGTAAAAGTCTCCTTGTTCTGACGCAGCTGTCTTCTCAGGATTGTCCTGAAAGACACAGAAAGCCTGAGAAGGAACAGCTGGGAACAGCTGTGGGCTGGTCACTGTCTAGGGAGTGTCATACAGGAGACTGGAGAGGCCTTAACACGATGTCTTCTCTGTCTTTCCGGCTGAACAGGCAGCCACAGTCTTGTACATTTGTGCTTAATTAGAAAGGAAATGACAGAAGGAATCAGGGTGGCCACCTACGCCCATCCTTAGAAGGGCTCCTAGGAAGAAAGGCTGAATGGGAAAGTGGGGTCGTGTGGGGGGCATTGGCTCTGGATAAAAAGAAGGCACTGACCTCAGAAGGTAGAAATTGAGGGGTACTGAAAGGCCCATTGGTGGCAGGCGAGGAATAGAGGAAAAATGAAAACAAAACAAAACAAAAAACAATCCAAAGGTCAAACTGTGAGGCTAAACAATTTAAAGATGGGAAAAGAGCGAGAGAAGGGGTGACATTGTCCAAAAAGAAATGTATCGATTACCTGACTTTACATAACGGTAACTACTCTGTACCTTTCTAATAACAATGAAAGATAAATAAATTTAAAGGTGCCCCTATCCAGATGACTGCCAAGCCCATGCATGGGAAAGTGGGTATTTATGTTCCATTTACATGAAGTTGTTTTTGGAAGAAAGCAATCAGCAGATAGTGGGACAATTTGATCAATTTGTTTGGGGGGGGGTCTGTGGTAGTAGAGTTGGCTACCAGGAGGTACAGAGATCTCTTGGGGGTGGGGTGATAGCAATGTTCTCTCTTTTAATGGTGGTGTATACATTTGTCAAAAATTGTTGACCTATGCATTTAGCAGGGGTGCGATTTAGTGGGGGAAATCGTCTTTCCATTAAAAAAATACATTCAGAGGAACAAACAAAAGTAAAAAGAAAAGGTAAGTTCTTAGTGTCTGGTAGTATATCTAACACAGAATCTGTAAGCTATGTACCCAGAAAACTGACATGCCGCTCTTAGAATATTAACAAATATAAAAATAAATGGAAAAAAAGGATGACTAAGAAGGTTGATTCTGTCTGAGTTGATTTATAGATGCAGTAGAACTCCTATTGAAATGTGAAAACAAAAAGTTCTTGTGGAACTGGCCACAACGATTCCAAAAATGTATATGAACAAGAAACAAAAGACTAAGAACATGGATAATTGGAAAGAATGGAAAACTTGGGGGAGGCACCTGCTCTATAAAGCACAAAAAGTCTGTCTTTCTGATCTGTGTACAAAGAATGCTGCAGTCCACATCCATGCATTTGTTTGATAGTTCACTTCTCTAAGAGAAGACATGAAATCTTACATTGGCTATAAAGTTGGCATGGGTAGATTAATTTAATTGGCAGGTGAGGTTTCAGCTGTTTTGGAAATGCCCCGATGTGAATGTGAAACATGCCTACTTATTGTCAGGGGAGGGGGGTGGGGAACGGCATCAGTTTATCACATCTCCTGACCACCCATCTTCCACAGATGGCTCTATTAACTTTCCTACATCCCCTAATCTTTACACAGTGATCTGATAATTTTCTCTTGATACTGGTGATAGAAAGGGAGAAGGGTGAGGTCAGCACATGTTCTTGTCCAGAAAATAACTTCACAAATTAGTACGGGCTAGTTGAATAATCAGACCCCCAAGGAGGTCTGATACAAGTTCCATGAGTTATGCTATATACCTAGAATTATGTCAATTATTGCTTATCTTATTAGAAGGAAATACATTTATTTATTTATGTTTGGTGCTGGTCATGGGGCTTGAACTCAGGGCCTGGGCCTTGCTTTTAAGCTTTTTTTTTGTTCAAGGCTAGCACTCTACTTGAACCACAGTTCCACTTGCAGCTTTTTGGTGGTTAATTGGAGATAAGAGTCTCATGGGCTTTCCTGCTTTAACTGGCTTTGAACAGGAATTCTGAGATCTCAGTCTTCTGAGTAGTTAGGATTCTAGCACGAGCCACCAGCACCTGGCTAAATAAACTAAAAATTTTAACAGTATTCTTGCTTAGTGTGATTTCTGTGTTGTTGATGGTGGTGGTGGTGGGGTTCTCATAGGTTTTGTTACAGTGTTTGTGAATTTAAATAAAATAAAAGATTAGTTCTCCGCTAAAACACACCATTCCAAATCCAAATGGGCTGGTTTTTATCTGCTATTTCCCATAGTGTGGCAGACGATAGCTTAGAACACATATGATGCAGCATTTCTACAAATCAGCATTTCTTACTTGAGGAGTAAACCTGCATCACCTTAAATTCTGGTTTAATGAGACAGAGGTAGGGTGAAAGCATTAGTAACGGTTGCTAATCATTGACCGATAATAGCACCTTACCAATAATAGCACCAACCAACCTCATGCAGCCACTGCAAAGGCTACTCACATAGACTTTGCATGTCAAGACTTGGCATGTAGGAAGGCCTGTGAAACCAGCCACGCTCTGCCACTTACCACATAGTGATGGAAGAAACAGAATGGCCGGGTGGGTTTGATGCGCACAGCAACATTCCCCTCTTCTCCAGGAGGCAGGACATTGCCCTGATCGTCCACAATCTGATGAACAGATCACAGGATGACGTTGGAGCCACTAGCCATGCTGTGCTCACTCACAGTGGTACCCACAACACCCACAGCCTCCTACCTGCACATCATAAGGTGGAAATGCTTTCCCCATGGATCCGGTCTTGATCATCATGCCTTTTTGGTTGGCACAGATTACAACCTGGAGAAAAACAAGTACCAATTAGGAGAAGCCTCTTCCTTGTAGCTGCTTTTCTGGTCCACTCCTTTCCCTCACTTGCCATTGGATGCTTTTTTTTCTTTACTCCCCTCTCTTCCTTTCTAATGGCTTTCTTCTTTTTTTTCTTCCTCATTCTCTTCTTTTTCTTTTTTATTCTCTTCTTTTTCTACTTCCCCCTGTTCTTCCTCCCTCTCTCCTTTCCTCCTTTCATTTCCTTCCTTCCTTCCTTTCTTCTTCCTCCTTCTTTACCTTGCTTCTTCTCTGCTTCCTACAGTCAGTAAACATTTGTGAGCACACTAATGGAGACTTATACACTGTCAGCAGAACATATTACTAAGCCAAAAGACGTAGTTGATCCCCACATCTCTGCTCAGATAGCTATAAGGGACACTGCTTAAGATTTGGGGTTCTACTAGGAATAGATCTGTGTTGTTCTGGTAGAGGAAAACAGCCTCTTTAGCCAAGAGAGCTGCTTTGCTAGTCATAATGTGATTGTGAAATTGCTGAACTACTTCGTGTGTGTGTGGTGGTGGTGGTGGGGTCATAGGGCTTGAACTTCAGGGCTGGGCACTGTCCCAGAGTTTTGTGCTCAAGGCTAGCACTCTACCATGTGAGCCACAGCATCCCTCCTGGTTTTCTGGTAGTTAATTAGAGATAAGACTCTCATGAACTTTCCTACCCAGGCTAGCTTTGAACCATGATCCTCAGATCTCAGGATTACAGGTGTGAGCCTGGTGCCTGGCTGCTAAACTACTTTTAAGCCAAAAGGAAGAAAGACTGGTGGAGTTTCATGATCAGCATTTCCCCTTTGGGGCAGGGAGATCCTTCACCGGTGTCACTGGGAAGTCTGAAAGGCCAGAGACGCCAGCAGGGGATAGGGTAGGGTGGGCAATGACTCTCCCTGCAGGGCGGAGGGCTCAGGTGTAGTGTCCCTGGACACAGCACTCACAGTTTCTGACTGCCCATAGCCTTCATGCAGCTCCAGGCCGGTCTGGCTCTTCCACCGTTCCCTCACATCAGGGTTGAGGGCCTCTCCTCCGGTCACACAGTGCCTCAGGCTGGGGAACTGATACCTTTTCTCAGGTGAGAAGACAAGAGCACCTGAGATAGGGCCCCAACCCTGCTCACTCTGCACTGCGGCTGCCTGGGTCCAGACCCTCCAGACAGCAGCAGAGACTGCACTTCCTGCTTCCCAGTCTGCCCTGGGCTTCTCCTCTGACTTCGTAGGCATGATCCTTAGGGGCAGACCAGAGGGTTTGTTCAAAATCACCAGTCCTGTCTGAGTTTGAAATAAAATTGAACCTCATGTAGTAGGTTTTGGCCTGACCTGGTAAGTTCCAGGTCAATTGATCCAAAATAATTTATCTGGAAACTGACTGATTGATTATAAATTTGTGGAGATCGGATTGAAAAAGAAGATTTAAAAATTTGAGATAATTTGATTAGCCCTCTAAGAATTTCCATATAAGATGATGTTAAGTGAAATGAACCCCAAGATAGGGACACAAGCAGTTTTTTTCCTTTCTTGCTATTGTTTTTAATGTATTTAAAATGTATTATGTGATTTTTTTTGTTTGTTTCTCTTGTATGTTCTTTTCCAAAGGTATAACCTGTGTTTTCACTGTATTTGATTCTGGTGCCCTGTATCTTGTATATACATTTTTCTAATTTGGGGAGGGGAAGGGAAATAACAAAATGCCGAAATAAGGATACAGGTTGACCCATTGTAACAATGAGATGTACAAGACACTATGTTGAAAACAAACTTTACAACTTGGTGGGGGAAGGGAGGATCTAGGGAGGTGGGAAGGGAAGGGAAGGTAGGGGAAAAACAAAGGAGGGGGAAAAACAAAGGAGGAGGTAACAATGCTCCATAGGAAATACACTCACTACCTTACTCATGTAGCTGTAACTCCTCTGTACAGTATTTTTGCAATAAAAAATCATAAAAAAGAATTTCCAGTTCTAACAAATTGTCCAACAAAACTCCTAAAGATATTAAATAAGCAGTAAAACTGTGTTGTCTCGACAAGCTATTCAAATTATTTTGTTGAACTTTGGGGGTGACAAATTATTCAAAGTGTAAAAGAAAAAAAATCAGTGAGTGCAAATTTACTTTTAATCATTTTTTTCTGTACCTTGGGATCAAATTGGTTGGACTGAGTTACTGTATGGACAGGTACCATTGAACAAATTATTCAGAGATGGTTACAGGAAGGGGGGTGAATGGAATTTCTTCCTACAGAGTAATTTAATCCCTTGAGTCATGTAAGAAGTCCCTCTTTTAAAAAAGGCACTCCATGGTCAAAGACCGCTTAGAAAAGATGAGGCGTATGAGGACAACTTCCCTATGCTTTGGGAAAGGACAGAAAAAGGCCTAGTTTAGGGTCCATAGACTCCTGAGCCATGTTGACAATCATTCCAGTACCTGCGCAGCTAGCAGAAGACTTTGGCTCATAGAGATAAGTCATCCAATGTGACATCACCTTCTCATTCATCCCCAGAGGCAAGCACACAGAGATTGGCTGGCTCAGGTTAGCCTGAGGTAGGAGATGGCACATCTGTTGTGCCAGGCTTGTTAGTCCTAGGGGTGATGAATTCCCTTTTGTAACTGGCTAGTTGCAATCCCATGGTTTCTCATTTCACAATTTCATAGATGCAATCGTCACATTTTTGTGGGTCTAGCCCAGGGGTGTGTGGCAGGGAGAAAGCCCACTTCAGTGTTGACATTTCAGATGGCCTTAAGTCAAATCCATGCAATTAAAGTGAAGTGTGAATTCTTAGGGGCCTGAAAACCATCTTTGAGGAGTGTCTACAAGTATACGTACGCTTTTGCGTGCATGTATAGGAGACACCAGACAGACAGACATAAAGACGGAGAGAGCTGGGCAGAGAAAGAAAAGCATAAGAATAAGAGACAAACCAGGTGCCAATGGCTCATGCCTGTAATCCTAGCTACTCAAGAGGCTGAGATCTGAAGATCATGGTTTAACACCAACTCAGGCAGGAAAGTCCGTGAGATTCTTATGCCAATTAATCACCAAAAGAAGCCAGAAGTGGAGATACAGCTTAAGTGGTAGAGCACTAGCCTTGAGCAAAAGAAGGTCAGGGACAGAGCTTAGGCCCTGAGTTCAAGCCCCAGGACTGGTGTGTGTGCACGCATGTGCATGCATGTGTGCATGCTCGCGTGTGCACACACACAGACAGACAGCATAGGGATACAGAAGCAGAAAGGCAGAGAGATCAAGTTGTAGTTAGAGAGTGGGTCTGCATGTGGGATCCCAGAGCACACATTCACACACATGGGCCCTCAAAGCACAAAATGGATGAGTGGTACCTGGTCAGGTCTTCCTGCACCAGCAGCCGGAAGAGGGTAGGGACACAGCAGAGTGAGGTTATTGGGAACCTGGAGAGAGTCTACAGACAACAAAAGAACTTTACTTAGAGTCTTTGGGATGGAATTTCATGGAAATAGTGTGAACTGAGTCCATTTTCAAAGGAGGGAAATGGAAGACAATGCATGGATGGTATTCAGCCTCCAAGATGGCGTCCAGTGACCTCCATCTCCTGGTACATTAGTGCCCTTGTGGGGGTCCACTGCCTCACTGCACCATGGTTAGTTCCTGTATCATAGTGTGGGGTGGAGGTGATGCTCTTGTTTGTGAGATTAGGTTAGATGGAGACGATGATCTTGACTTTTCTCCCTCTCTTGCTCTACTCACTCTGGGAGGAGGCAAGTGGCCATATTGTGAGGACACTCAAGCTGTCCTCTTGATGAGTGTACCCATGAAGGACTGGAACTCTGGCCAAAAGTTGATGAACAATTGACTGTGAAAGCTACACCTCAGATTTGAGGCAGGAACTAGATTATGGGAAGCTCTGGTGCCTTTTGGGTTGGTAGAAGTATGGAGGAGCTAAGGATTACCAATCCATGCCTTTTCTCCTGCAACCTTGGAGCCTCTGCACCATTCATCTCATTCACACCCAACCTGGGAGAGGGGTTTTAGTCTCTTACATTCAGGATAAGTTTGGTATCCACTCGAGGAAGCTCATGAACAAAAACACAAGATCCATTGGACCAGGCAGAGAAGAAAGTCCAGGCTGCCTTCACCCAACCAGTGTCAGTTGTGTTCCAGAAGATCGATGATTCAGTCAAGGCTACCCAGTGCCTGCCCAAAAAAATGAGAGAAAAGAACACCTCTAACTTTAAGAAGGATCATATTACCTTCAACCCTGACCACATGGAGTATTCACTTAATACCTGCCTAAATGACACAAGACCTATCAACTCAACTACTCTCCAAGCTTTTGTTGTTGTTGGCCCTGGGGCTTGAACTTGGGGCCTTTAGCTTTTTCACTCAAGGGAAATAGAGAGAGAGCCAGAGAGTTATTGTGTCATGGGTTCTATTTCTGTTTGGGAAGATTTCTTTTTCCCCCTAAAGTTCAAGAGATAACGGCAGCGCTGGTTGTAGGACAATGACAATAGTAATGAAAAGATACTGGATGATGCACTTAAGAATGGTTTACATGGAGGAGGAACAGAGAAATGGAGAGAGGGAAGGTGGGTGAATGGTCACTGTAATCAAGGTCCACATGTGAAACTGGAAGCAGGTAACTCGACAGTGTAGGTAGGGTTGGAAAAGATGGGGGTGGGGGAAGGGAGGATGATGGGAGGGGTGACACTGATCAGGATGCATTGTACTCATTAATTGATATGTAGGATTGAAACCATTTTGTGTAATTATTCAAAGGTAATAAGTAAATAAAATTTATAGTAACAACAACAACAATGTATAAATGGTTACACATAGTGCTTAGCTTTGTGAGATTGGTTTTTGTCACTCAGCATGATTCTAGAATATCTATCTATCTATCTATCCCATAAGTTCATTCCTTCTCAGACATGGGGCTTGAACTTGGGGCCTGGATGCTGTGCTGCCCCTAATTTTTTTCATTCAAGGCTAGTGCTCTACCATTTTGAGACACAGCTCCATTTCCAGTTTTCTAGTGGTCAATTGGAAATAACAGTCTCATAGACTTTCCTGTCCTGTCTGGCTTTGAATTGTGATCCTCAGATCTCAGCCTCCTGAATAGCTAGGATTATAGGCATGTGAGCCACTAGTGCCCGGGTAGTTTATTCCTTCTTTACTGCTCCACTCCAGGTTTGTCTCTCTCCTAGATAAGTGTCCCCAGTACCTTCCACTGGCCACAAAACCCAGACCATAGCTGCTGTGGGAATGCTCCACCATCTTGGGGTTCCCTGTAGTTCCACTGGTGAAGTAAATGGACAGGGGATCTTGGCTCTTGGTCCTCACACAGTTGTGCTCTGAAGATGCCTTTCTGGAAAATGCAGAAACAAAACAAAACAAAAGCAACAACTAAGCTGGTAACAACTCTTAGTAGCAAAACCAGTGAATACTACCAGTAGTACTTTTTTTTTCTTTTGTTGGTCATGGGGCTTGAACTCTGGGCCTCAGCACTGTCCCTCAGCTCTTCAGCTCAAGGTGAGGGCTCTATCACTTGAGCGACAGCACCACTTCCGGTTTTCTGGTGGTTCATTGGAGATAAGAGTTTCACAGCCTTTCCTGCTTGAGCTGGCTTTGAACTGCGACCCTCAGACCTCAGAATCCTGAGTAGCTAGGATGACAGGCGTGAGCCACCGGCGCCTGGCCAACCAGTAGTATTTTAACAACAAAGCTCCTACAATTTCAACAAATAGCATGCCTAAGATGCCATTGGGAAGAGTTCCTACTATGAATTAAATACCTTCTATAGGTTATCTCACATAGCCTGGTTAATAGCCATAATAACAAGCTGGGTGCTGGTGACTCATGCCTATAATTCTTTCTTTTTTGGTCTGGTCGTGGGGCCTGAACTCTGGGCCTGGGCGCTGTCCCTCAGGTCTTTAGCTCAAGGCTAGCGCTCTACCACTTGAGCCACAGCACCACTTCCAGCTTTTTCTTTTTGCTTATGTGGTGCCGAGGAATCGAACTCAGGGCCTCAGGCATGCAAAGCAAGCGCTCTACCACTGAGCCACCTTCCCAGCCCCATCATGCCTATAATTCTTAGCTACTCAGGTGGCTGAGATCTAAGGATTGTGGTTTGAAGCCAGCCTAGACAGGAAAGTCTGTGAGATTCATCTCTCCAATGAGCTATTCAGAAAAAGGCAGAAGTAAAGTTATGGCTCACATGGTAGGGCACTAGCCTTGAACAAAAGAAGCTCAAGGCCAGGGCCCAGGCCCAGAGTTCAAGCCCCAGGACTGACAACAAAACAAAACATATAACAAATGCCATCATTATAGAGACCAGTGGGGCACCCAGAAGAGAGTGACACATCCCATCTTGAATGAATGAGTGACTGTGAGCATGGAGGAGTCTTGGGGACCCCAGGCCAGCCTAGCTCCCACAGTGAGTATTACTCTCCCATTACCATTTTCCCCCATGAGCAACCCAAAATTCATTGCATGGCTTGTTCCCTAAAGGGGAAAAGGCCCTGACTTCCTTCTTGTTATGATTGTCCTGGAGAACTTCAACTCACTGCAGGAGTTCCCTGAAGTTCATCCAGCCTGGATGGCTGTTGTCCGACACCAGTAGCTTGGTTTGGAGGGAGGGGCAGTCATGGCAGATGGCATCAACCTGTGGAACCAGGGCATCACTGGTGATGATGGACTTGGCCCTGGATGCCTGCAGTCGGTACTTGAGGTCCTTCTCTGTCAGCTGGGAGATACCTGGGATCATGATGAGGCCTGAGGTGAATGCAGAGAGGGCAGACATCGGATCTGAGCGTGAGCTGGAGAGAGCTGGACGGCTGGGTCTGAAAGATGCATTGCTCACGGAATTGAGAAAATACATGGGAAGAATGTACACACATTAGGCTCTGTTTCATTTCATCCTAACGCCCTGGGGTCTGGTTCTGTCTATTACATCACTGATGGGCCCCTGAGGTACAACCGGCCTTGTAAGTTCTGGGCACAAGGGATGAAGCGAAAATGGCATCCAGGATGCACTTCGCTTGGTCCTCTGAACCTCATGGAAATCACAAAGCTCCCTAACTAGGAACTCCAGCCCCGACTCACTGACCTGCCCGCATACAAGCCACGGTGACCAGCCACCACTCCGGAAGCCGTGGCAGTACCACCATCATTCTGTCCCCAGACTGTAGGCCGCACGCGCTCTCCAGGACATTGGCTGCCTTCCTGGATTGTTTGCCCAGCTCTTCAAAGCTCCACTTGATCTCCTTTCCCGTGCCACCTACCCACCAGAAAGCTGGGTTCGAGGGACGGTGCCCAGCCTAGACAGAGGGGTAGGCAGAAAAGAAATAGAAGCCACTTGTGGAGGATTTTTTGCTTGCTGATTTTTAAAATACTGTTTCTCACAATAGTTAATATGCTAGTGTTTGAAAATGAGATTGATAAAGAAAGCTGTTCATTAAGAAGATTTGAGTCATGCCTTGACTCTTCACCTGTCTTGCCTAAGCGACTAGTAATTTGATTAGTTTCCTGCATACCCTCCTTCAGGTCCCTTAAACAAACGTAAGTCTATTTTTACATGTCACTGTTTGTATGTTGTTTGTCTAATCCAGCAGCTCATGTAGCCACAAAGTTAAAACAATGACATAAAATGGTTTTTGGCTGGGTTGCTGGTAGCTCACGCCTGTCATCCTAGATACTCAGGAGGCTGAGATCTGAGGATCACAGTTCAAAGCCAGCCCTGGCAGACAAGTCTGTGAGACACTTACCTCCCAACTAACCACCAAAAAGCTGGAAGTGGGACTGTGGCTCAAGTGGTAGAGCTCCAAACTTGAGCAAAACAGCTAAGGGCCAGCACTGAGGCCCTGAGTTCAAGCCCTAGAATTGGCATACACAGCCCTTAGAGAAATTTGGTTACTTACTGATTAAGTTCTGAGTTAGGCCACATCCATATAACTTATAAATGGGGTCACAATCAAATCATAACTGCTTGAAAATAAGGCTTTGCAAAGGCTCCATTGTGTTCCCTCTGTGGCCACCAGCTTCAGTGGGAAGGAATGAGGGGTACTGTTTCCCAAGGCTGTGGGGTATCTGGGAACTGGGCACTGGAACCAAAGATGTTAACATGTCACCAAGCTCTTTGTACTTACTGAGATCCTACCAGTTATGCTAATTAAACACTTTCTAGGTGACTGCAGCCTCTGAGTAGTTTCCAGAGTTCTAAAAACAGCAGCAGCAGCAACAACAAAATTAACAAAATTACTCATAACTTTTACTGGGTTGTTGCTGTCATTGTTGCTCTTACGAAGCAGAAAAAAAAGGGTGATAATCTTTAACCCATCATTTTTTGCTGATGAGGAGAAGTTTTCTGAAAAATGTTCCTTAGGCTTACTGTGGTGGTTCATGCCCCTAATTCCATCACTTGGGAGGCTTAGTCTACACAGGGAGACTCCAAGGCTCAGCTCAGTGGAACATCTTGCTGGCACTAACTTTTCCTTTGGAGCTGGTCTAGTACATATGAGTCCTTGGCTTCCATTCTTACTGCTGCAAAACAAAAGAAAAAAAAAAGAAAAGAAAAAGAAAAGGTCCCCTTGTATGGCAAAAAGAACTTAGGTTTTGTGAATAGTTGAAGAATGAAGCATCCTGACTCTACAGCTCACACACTTCCTCCCATCTCTCACAGTTTCACATGGCAGACAGATGTTGGATTACCTAGCATCTGAGATCTAGGACACTTGGGACCAATGTACATTGTCAAGGCTGCTTTAAGACTTCTTCCTCCTCACATGAACTTCATTGGCTTTGTAGGTTATTACTGTAGCTACTGGCAATAGTGGACAACTTTTTAAACAACTTTATCATCAGTTTGACATAATTAAGTGCATTTGAAATAGGACTTCGCATTCCCTTATTATCAACAAAAGAGGACTATCATGTCAAATGGATACAACACACACATGCATGCACGCACGCACAGGGCAGGCATAGTTAAAGTGGGGAGGGGAAAACACACAGAGACATAGAAAACTCAGACTTAGTTTGTTCAGGGCCAACCTGTTTATCCACTGTGACCTGTGAAGCTTTGCTTGGGGCTCTGCTCCCTCCTTGTTTAGAAATAAAATACATGAGAGCCACTAAAGTAGTGCAGACAGGATAGCAGCAAAAAACAATTTTTCCCCCCTGCATTTAAGGGGATGGGTTGGGAGGGAATGAAGAGAAGGCTTCATATTTTGTGGTGAGGTTGGGGCTCAGGATAAGAGATACCTCACAATCCCGCAAAATATGCATGCCGCCTAACACTAGATCCTAGCCACGCCTCCACCAGTCTTTAATGCTAACATGCAAAGTTCCCCGGTAAAAATGCTCAAATAAGTTGTGTTTTTTTTTTCTGATATCAGTCATAGGGCTTCAACTCAGGGCCTAGGTGTGCAGTCCCTGAGGTTTTTTTCTCTCTCTCAAGCTAGCACTCTACTACACAAACCACAGCTCCACTTCCAGTTTATTGGTGGTTAATTGGAAATAAGAGTCTCATGAACTTTACTGCCCAGGCTGGCTTCAAACTGTGATCCTCAGATCTCAAGCCTTCTGAGTGGCCAGGATTTACAGGTGTGAGCCACCAGCACCCAGCCAAATAAGTTGTCTATAGTCTCGAGTCTCTCTGTGACGCCCACGTAGGCAGGCTCAACTTTACCTTTTCCAGCTGACTCCACACATCCAGCACATCGTGTGCAAAGTTGAAGTACTCAGGCACAGGCTGCCTCCCAAGGTTGATGGCCTCCCAGGTGGCCGTAATCTCAGGAGCAGGTGGAGGTGGGGGCTGCCCATGAACCCCACAGACACCCCAGGGGCTCCTCAGTGCCCGCAGGGCCAGGCCTTTCAACCACAGCTTCATGGTGTTCACTGCCTGTTGCCTGTCACCAAAGAGAGAAGAGAGGCTGCTGTCTTGAAGGCTGGGTTTTGGGGGATTGGGAAGTACCCCCAAAGTGACCAGAGTCCCTATGGACTCAGCTCTGCCTGGTGTCTCCTGAGGTCCAGCTCTCCCAACTCTCCCTGCCAAGGTACCCATCCTTGAAAGATAATCCCTCCAGCATCACTAATTTTCTTGTTACATTTTAAAGAATTAAAAAATACATTTCAGGGGTCGGAAGGAGGACATAGATGGTAGAATACCAGCCAGTGAATAAAAGTGTCAGTTATGAGTTTGAGTCCTGTTGTCAGTCAAAACAAAACAAAAACAAAGAAAAGAAAAGAAAAAAATTGAATATGATTGCTATAGGGCAGGGGTTGTGGAAGAAACTGGAAGGGAGGAAAAGAGAGAATAATGAGAAATGAATATGGTACAAATATCTATCTATCTATCTATCTATCTATCTATCTATCTATCTATCTATCTATCTATCTATCTATCTGTCATCTACCTACCATAATGAAACCTGCTAAAATGATTAAAAAGTAGGAGGAGAAAAGTCAGGTTAAAGAAAGAGTAATATAGAAAGAGTGAATGTAGCCAAAGTACATTATATGCATATGTATAAATATCATGGTGAAACCCATAACTTACGCTATAACTTTTTTTTTTAAAGGAAAGGGGGTTGAATTTGAAGGGGAACAAGGCAAAGATGTGGGATTGAATGCACCTGCTGCAGGGGGCAGGCCTGTCTCATGCCATTGTCACAGGCATACAATAAATCTCAGTGAAGAAAATCCATGTCAGTTGACAGTAGACTTAGTTATGTAAGCATTTTCAGTAGACTGGATTATTTTTTTTTCTGAGAATCTTGTCATTTCAATTTGATTTTATGATCTCATGTGAGTAGAAGGCATGTTAATCATTTCAAGAAAAGTAAAGTAAAATACTTATTTGAAACTTTAACTAACTCATGGGAATTGTCTATATTTCTGGGGGTGGGGAGGTATGCCATTTTGGCACTTGTAGTGATGTGTCGTGATAGGATCAGGGTAATTAAATATCTGCCACCTCCAACACATCACTTGTGTCTGTTTGCAACACTCAAAATTCTGTCTGCTAAATGATTTTGATCAATTCTGAACTGTCCTGGTGAATCAGGGATGAAGTCCTTGGGTATCCCTGACCTGTGCAATCAAAATGTGAGCTATATATGCAGCTTAGATTTTTCTCACATCTTCATGCAGAAAAGAAAAAACAAACAAGAAGCAATGACTGACTTTAATGATAACAACACATCTTATTTAACCAGTATGCAAATAGCACTATCATGTCTATATGGATTCCGAACTAGGCACTGTTTTTTTTTTTTTTTTTTTGCACTAAGTCCTTGAAACAAGATGAGTCTTTTAGGATCCTGTGTCAAGTTGGACCTATTGCTGATTTGGTATCTTGCTGCTCAGAGTTGTGACCTAGGGACGGGAAGCAGAATTTGTGCAGAACATGAGACGCTTTACATGATCCTACATGTCTATCAAGTTCAAGAGTAGTGATCTAAGAGCTGCCCCTAAGTAGAGCTCCCTTGGCCAAATTCTTTATAACAGTAACAATATCAACAATAATAAATGCGATGGTGATAATAAAGTCTTGCCACAAGAAAAAAAAAAAACAACCCAAAACATCACAACTCCTCTGAAGGGTTACTGGGTAACAACATGTGGAAAGCACTGTAGCAACATGATTTCATTAAAGCTATATGACTTCTCCATGTCGTCAATGCTATTTTCTCCAGTTTGCTAATAGACGCAGGAAGGCCTATGGCAGGGGGAAGTGGCATCTCCCACGCATGTCTAGGCCCTGGCTGTGGCTGTGATCTCCCTCTCCCAATTCCTCTCTCTCCTCCTCATCGCCCACAAACTCTGCTGGAGCCTTTTCCTTGCCCTCCCACGCCTGGATCTCTTGACATCCGTTAACTAGATTCCCCAGCAGTTTTTCTCTTTGTCTCCCAGGGCCATTTCATGCCCTCCTAATCAGCGGCACCTGCCACTGAAAGATTTCCCCCCCCCCTCCCTTCCCCTTACCTTGTTCTTAAAGCCAGGGAATGTAAAAAGGCATCTGTCTTCTGCTTCAGCACAAGAGTTGTCTAGGTTTTCTCAGGACACTGAGGAGGGGAAGCTGTTGATTCCAGCTCTCAGAGGGAACTTTGGCCCCAATCACTGCCAAAACAGATCATTGCCAGAGGCCATCGTAACCTTTCCACTGGTCAGGGAACTCTTGCGTGAGCAAGAGTGCCTGCCTGCCAAGATATCCTTCCTCCTTCTTTTCTTCTCCCTTCTTTTTTCTTCTCTCTTCTTTTTTCTTCTTTCCTTTTTCCTTCCTCTTTGTCTTCCTTCCTTCCTTCCTTCCTCTTCCTTCCTTCCTTCCTTCCTTCATTTTTCTTTTCTCTCTTTTTCTTTCTTCTTTCCTTTCTTTCTCCCTTCTCCTTCCTTCCTTCATCTCTCTCTTCCTTTCTCTTTCTTTCTTTCTTCCTTCTTCCTTCCTTCTTTCCTTTATTTTTCTTTTCTCTTTTTCTTTCTTCTTTTCTTTCTTTCTCCCTTCTCCCTTCTCCTTCCTTCCTTCCTTCCTCTCTCTCTTTCTCTTTCTTTCTTCCTTCTTTCCTTTATTTTTCTTTTCTCTCTTTTTCTTTCTTCTTTCCTTTCTTTCTCCCTTCTCCTTCCGTCCTTCCTTCCTTCATCTCTCTCTTCCTTTCTCTTTCTTTCTTCCTTCTTCCTTCTTTCTTTTCTTTATTTTTCTTTTCTCTCTTTTTCTTTCTTCTTTCCTTTCTTTCTCTTCTCCCTTCTCCTTCCTTCCTTCCTTCCTTCCTTCCTTCCTTCCTTCCTTCCTTCCTTCCTTCCTCTCTCCCTCCCTTCTTTTTTCCCTCTATCCCTCCCTCCCTCCCTCCTTCCCTCCCTCCTGTCCTTCTTTTCATGCTGACCCTGGAACTTGAACTCAGGGCATGGGTACTGTCCCTGAGCTTTTTCATTCAAGGCTGGGCTCTATCACATGAGTCACAGCTCTTCTGTTTTCTTTTTCTGGTTAATTGGAGATAAGAGTCTCATGCACTTTCCTGCCCAGGTTGACTTTCCTCAGATCTCAACCTTCTGAATAGCTAGAGTTGCAGGTGTGAGCCGCTGGGCCAGGCTTTTCTTTAGCTCACAGAACTTGTAGGATTAAACCCCAGTTCTTGTGCTAGACACAGCAGCTCCCACTGGATGGAAGTGTTTCCTGGAAATGTGGATGAAAGAGAATGGGTGCTTTATTCTGACCTAACAGGAGGAATTTTATAGTGAAACAAATGTAAGGCAGATCTTGTCCATTGCCTGCTCAAATTTCTTCTACTATATAAAGTTACAAAGTGAACAAATGGTTGTTGGTGAGCCAAGAGTGACCTTGGAAAGTCACAAGGTATCCTTGCGGAGATGGAATTGTTCTACATGTAAATGGTGTTTCTGGAGGTGTCACTCTGTAAATGTGCTGAAAATAATTATAACCATAGCCATTGTACCCTGTCTAAATAGCAGTTGAAACAGAAATTCTTTCTACAGCTTCCCATTGCTGAGTCAAGGCCAAAGTCAGGACAATAGCATGAAAGATGGCACACAGCATTTCTGTCATCTCTGTTCTCCTCCCACTTTCCAGCTCATTCTGTTCCAGCCACACTGGTCTCCTGGTTGTTTCCTCTGGGGTTTGGTTTCACAGGATGTTGTTGGGAAATGATTGCAGTAAAAGACATGCTGGTGAATAGCTTTTGTCAATGTATTTGTAAGTGTTGACTATTGCCATGAGCAATCTTCAAGCTGGTGAGGCTTTTTTTTTTTTTTTTTGGTTGGTTGTAGTGTTTGGACTTGGGGCCTGGGCACTGTCCCTGAGCCCTTTGTGCTCAAGGCTAGCACTCTACCACTTTGAGCCACAGCACCACTTCTGGTTTTCTGATGGTTAATTGGAGCTCATAGAGTTTCCTGCCTGGGCTGGCTTTGAACTGTGATTCTCAGATCTCTGCCTCCTGAGTAGCTAGGATTACAGGCCTGAGCCACCAGGGCCGAAAGCTTATAAAGTTTTAACCTGCCTGCTTCCTTGAGAGAGGTCATCTCCAGGGCTTTAGTGCTTCCTGACCTATGGCACTCAGAGCATTGAGAACAGTACTTTGCTTTGGGAGAGTTGGGTATTTGTTGAATCTATGCCAAGTAAATATTTATTCAATGTTCTCTATCTGTCAGGCACTGTGCTGGGTACAAAGTGATTCCTGGTACAAAGTGTGTGTGTGTGTGTGTGTGTGTGTGTGTGTGTAGATGTGTTCTTTGCTTTTGGAATACCTCCCCCCTCTCCCCGAGTTGATATAAAAAATCTGGTGACATTCCCAATTTGCGGGGACCTGTGGGAACTTCATTTTCCTGATTCCTAAGATTGAAGCAGTCTTGACAGATGAGAGGGGTACTGGGTGCTCTTTTAAAAAATATATTTTGGGGGGCTGGGAAGGTAGCTCAGTGGTAGAGCACTTGCCTTGCATGCATGAGGCCCTGGGTTCAACTCCTCAGCACCACATAAGCAGAAAAAAGCTGGAAGTGGCGCTGTGGCTCAAGTAGTAGAGCTGAAGAGCTGAGGGACAGCACCCAGGCCTAGAGTTCAGGCCACATGACTGAATATATATATATATATATATATATATATATATGTGTGTGTGTGTGTGTGTGTGTGTGTGTGTGTGTGTGTGTGTGTGTATGATTTTATGTGGTATCAAGGAATCGAACCCAGGGCCTCCTGCGTGATAGCCATGCATTCTCCCACAGAACCACCTTCCCAGCCCCAGCCATAGGTCAGGAATGGCTGCCAGCCTCATGCTGAGGATCTACCCCTCCCTGTGTCCAACTCCCCTGGGCCTCTTGTCTCCAGTTCCCGCTCAGGTTATTAGGACCTACATCATGGGGGCAGCTCGCTCCTTCTTCCCCATCAAGGTTGGCTGCAGAGTTTTCTGCTGAGCCATTGATTCTGCTGAATCTCCGGTCGTATGGAAAGACACAATCTCTGTTCTCAAGTGGATGGATGCACTTTCCTCAAGCAATCTGATGTGAATATTACTAATTATTCACGTTTGGTAAAAGGTGGGAGGCAAAGAGCTGAGGGATGCAAACTCTGGTCATAATAATCATGATACTAACATTAGTAGCTGTTCATTCGTTCACTCAACCAATATTTATTGGACACCTATTATCTGCTCGGCAAAGGAAATGAGAAGAAATTTACAAGGTGATTAATGTCTAAGAGGGGGATGGGGTTGTTATTCCTTTGAACAAAGTAGTCAGGAAAAGGCTGATGGAGGAAAAGATGATGTGTGAGCAAAGACCTGAAGGATCCAGGAAGATGAACATTGATTACACGTGGCAGCTTCCTGGCAGAAACTGCAAGTGCAAAGGCCCTGAGGTAGGTGTATGATTGCTTTATTTGAGGTCTGGCAGAGGCCAATGTGTGAGCAAAGAGAGTCCTCAATGGTAGAGTGCTTGCTTAGCATGTGTTAGGCCCTGTGTTTGATTCCCAGAATGGTGGGGAAAGAAAGAGAGAAAGAGAAGGTGGGAGGAGGAGAGAAAGAAAGAGAAGAAGAGAGAGAGAGAGGAAAAGGAAGGAAGGGGGAGAGAGAAGGAAGGAAGGAAGGAGAGGAGGGAGGGAAGGAGGGAAGAAGGAAGAAAGGAAGGACAGGAGGAAGGGAGGGAGGAAGGAAGGAAGGAAGGAAGGAGGGAGGGTAGGAAGGAAGGAAGAGAAATGGCACTAAGCAACAGCAGTACTACTGCCTTCCAGTTTCTCCATTTCTCCCTCTGCACCTACCACCTTGTCTAGCCCTTACACACCCATGAGAGAGTTATGTGTCTTTGTACAGGAGATGAAACTGTGCCCCAGAACAAAGTAATTGACAGCTCAAGGTCACACGGGTCAGGACAGAGCTGGGCTCCAGACTCTGAGCCACAGGCACCCTGTGCCCCACACTACATTTTGCTTCTGTCCTCACTCCTCCGCTCTGTCAACTCTGCTCCTGGTGCCCACTGGCAAGGCCTCTTGGGAGGGGCCCCCTCTTACTCAACAATGGCCCATTCTTCTGTAGGACCCCCCAGGCCCTCCAGAGCCCCAGAACTCAGAACATTGCTGTGGTGGCTGCAGTGGCCTCTGTGTGCCTAGGAAAGGGGCTGTGTGTCTGCCACTTTCAGTGTCATTGGAAAACCCAGGAGAAGCCCAGAGGCTGCTGTTCAGGTCACTACAGTGGTGCAGTTTTCTGTCTCACCAGCTCGGTCCTCCAGGTAAATTCCAGGTCTGCCCTCGCAGCCTTTCCTCTATAAAGCACCATTAACTGAAGATGGCTACTTACATTAGCACTAACCACAGGGCCTTGAGGAAAAAAAATGGCGCTCAAACTAACCCTGCCCAAACCAGTGAAATTACAACCTACTAGGTTTGGGATCAAGAATCAGTCTTAATTTTTACCAAACTCCTACAAGAGATTTGATTCCCAAATCAGATCTGCAGACTATTATAGGAACTACAGATAATCATGCTTATGTTTAAAACGTTAACAGGTAGGCTTGGGGCTACTCACTTTTGTAGGCTTAGTGCTCGTGACAGAGGCAGGAGAGTCATGGGTTTGAGGACAGCCCAGGTGACATAGTAAGATCTGGTCTTTACATATATGTAAGGTAGAAACAACAATACAGAAGAGGAAGCAGACATTCGTGGCAAAGCAGAATGTTCTGAGCAGACTGGGCAAAGCCAAGGAGTCAGAGAAGATCCCTCTGATGACCAGCAGAGATGAAGACATAGAGAAAACAACGAAGTAGGCAGAGGCAAAGGAAGGGAAGGAGCCCAGGATGGGCTGTCCAGAGCTTATGAGGGGAGAGAGAGAGAAGGAGGGGAGGAGGGTGAGATAGGATGGGTATTAGGAAGTTTAGGGTTTGCAAGATGGGAGACTTTTTGGTAAGAGGAGAAACAGGATGGAATTTGTGTTTGCAAAGAGGATCTCTAGTGCCGTGGGGGAAGAGTGGACACAGAGGGAACTGCCAGGAGTTCACAGATTTGGATGGCAGTCTTGGTGAGATATGGGTAGAGAGGACTCAGCCCAAACTGGGCTGATGATATGGCAACTTGTCAGCTACTGTTATGGCCGAAGTTTCCCATCAAAGCTACTTTCCGCCTGGCCCCAGTGGCTCATGCCTGTAATCCTAGCTACTCAGGAGGCTGAGATCTGAGGATTGTGGTTCAAAGCCAGCCCAGGCAGGAAAGACTGTGAGACTCCTATCTCCAATAAACCACCAGAAAACCGCAAGTGGTGCTGTAGCTCAAGTGGTAGAGCTCTCGCTTTGAGCTAAAGAGCTGAGGGACAGCGCCCAGGGCCTGCTAGCCAGAGGAGCAAGCGTGGAGATGAGGTGATTCCCTTCCAGGTGACAAAGAGAGAGGGCTGGTGGGTGTACCAAGGCTAAGACAGCATTGGGATCAAGACAGCCAGGAGGCTGGACACTAGTGACTCATGCCTGTAATCTCAGGAGGCTGAGATCTGAGGATCACAGTTCAAAGTCGGCCTAGGCAAGGAAGTCCATGAGCTTCTTACCTTCAATCAACTGCCAAAAGGCCAGAAGTGAAGCTGTGGCTCAAGTGGTACAGTGCTTAGCTCAGGACAGTGCCCAGGCTTTGAATTTAAGTTCTAGGGACCAGCACAAAGAAAGGGAGGGAAGGAGGGAAGGAGAGAAGGAGATCATCTGCTTAACAGAAAGCCTTGCAGGTACAAGATCCAAACCTGGGCAGATTAACAGGGGTCCTGAGACCTCACAGATGGATTGAGAATCCTTTGGTGAGGCCTTGTCAAAGATCCCTGAAGGGAGACCGTGGGATAAGCCCTTCCCCACCTGCTCCCCCCTTGCTATGTTGAGCATTGAGCCAGGGCTCTGTCTTCTCTGCTGCCCTCTGCAGGACAGCCATGGCACTGTGCCAGATGCCCTCACTGGGGCTGCTGTTGCTGGCTGCTAGGGTTTGCCTGGTCCACAGTCACCGGGAGATGGATGCCAGAGACACCAACATCAACTTTTCCAAGCCTTTGCACATCGTACAAGAGGGCAACCTGATGGTGCTGACCCCAGCCGGCCTGACCCAGGCGCTGAACCAGACCCGCTTTCTCATGGTGCTTTTCTGTGAGTGTCTGGTTTTGGGGGGGGATAGGAGTGGGAGAAGGGGAGAGGGTGGGAGAAGAACACCCCCCTCCTTCCTCGACTGCTAAACACATGAGAACATGTGATGCATGTTAAAAGTGTATTAATGTTGATGGGGTGTTGCTCCCAAATTCTAGGAATCTCAGGTTTAGCTTGGTGCCAGGTGCTGGCGGGGCTGGCACACTGTCTCGGCTTTGTAGGGTGTCATGAAATGTCTCCCCGATTCAGGCTCAAGGGGCTGATCTTTCCTTGCAATTCTGATATTCCTCCCTTTGGTTGTGTGTGTGTGTGTATGTGTGTGTGTGTGTGTGTTTCCCGAGCTGTGGTATCCTATAAGTATGGAAGTTGTTTTGGATTTTTCAAGGAGCCCGGGCTCTCGAATGATGTAAGGATCTGGGACGAGAGATGGAGCCAACTGATTTGTCCTCTTCCCCACTTTCTTGAGTGGTTGCTAGAGATTGAACTCTAAGGCTGAGCGACATCCCCAGCCCTGGTTTTATATTCCTTAATTGCCCTGGATAACATGCCATTTGAAAGTGCAGGCGTGCTGTGTCTCCACACTGGCTGAGATTGGAAAAGACACTCAATTAAACTCATCACTCGGCAGTCATTGATTCCTGCCAGCACCCAGTTGAATTCAAAAGGAGTTCTCAAACACTGGCAGGCCTCCTAAAGTGACCTTCAGAGAAACAAATGCCTTGACTGTTATAAGAGCAGAATTTTTACAAGAGTAGTAGCAATTATGAAGTGTTATTTGTTCACCTAAACCAGGCATTAAACAAAGTGATTGTATGCACTCAGAGAAGAACAGAGGGAAGAGACTCTCTAATCTCTGTCCTGGCAATGACTCTCATCGACATAAGACCATGAGCAAGTGGGTCATTTTATTGTGCCTCAGTTTCCCTATGTATGAAATTGATATCGTCATAATAAAATCTACCCCTATGGCGAAAAATCACGCCTAGATCCTAGAAAGTGTGAACTCCTACAAGACAATAAACAGTATGGAATTAACTGGCAAATCTCATTTCACTCCGTGAAGTGGCCGCTATCAGTTCTATAAGGAAAAAAGCACAGCTTAGAAAGATTAAGTTGCATATTGTCAGTGTTACTGAGCCCAAAGGGCCTTTTTTTGAATACGTCTCTTCAACAGCCCCATTTCACGACTCATTGGGTTACATCCTGGTGTAACCCAGGATGTAATCTTGTGCTCACTCCTTCTGAGCACAAAGCAAGCCAGGAACTCAGCAGTCCACCTTGGGCAGGACAGAGAGAGGCCCTGGCTAGTTCTGTTTTCATGTCTGTTCTTTCCAGACAATTCCATGTCAAAGCAATCCAGGAGTTTGGCCAAGGAACTGGGCAAAGCTGTGGACATCCTGGGCAAAGGCAAAAATGGGATTGGCTTCGGCAAGGTTGACATCTCTGTGGAGAAGGAGCTGAAGCAGGAGTTTAACATCAAGAAGACTCCAGACTTGAAGCTGTTCTTTGAGGGCAACAGGTCAGAGCCCATCGCCTGCAAAGGTAATGGGGCTGGGGTGCTGCGATGATTTTGTGCGCAGGTGAAGTAAAGTGCTGAGATGATTTTTGTGCGCAGTTGGCAGCCCAAGGTGTGAGGCTTTGATGTGTCAGCTCTTTCTAGCTTATGACGCCCCCCTTCCACTCCTGCTTTCCCTTAAAATCCTGGAGCAACCCGCTCTTTCCTCTGTACCCAACGGGCAGCCAGAGTGAGGAGGCAGGAAATGGCCCGAGGTGGTGTTCACAGAAGTGGCAAACATCACTTCTAGTTGTAGAGTCGTATTGTGAGTGCAAACACTCTCAGTTGCATCCATGAGGAAACTAGGTTTCCATAGCTATTTGGTGCCTCTACCTCAGATTGTGTATCAGCAAAGAGGGCCCAGGAAAAACAAGAGACAGAGTGTGGGTGCAGGGCTGGTAAACTAACACACCAGAGACTAAGTTCCTAATTCCTCTCTTTACTCTGTGGTGTTCTACTTTAGATTGATTTTGACAGGATCCCTAGGTTCAGGGAGTATTTGTAAGGAAAAAAAAAGAGCCCAGAAAATGATGGGTCAAAAGAGGCTTGGAATGGAGTGTCTATCAGATGCTATTATTTATTTGTGGATTCGTTGGTAGTGGGAGATCACACTCACACTTTCTAGGAAGACACTGTTTTTTTTTTCTATAAGAGAGTTTGAACTCAGGGACTCACATTCTTCCTTGAATCTTTTTTTTATTCAAGCCTGGTGCTCTACCACTTGAGCCATACCTCCACTTCTAGCTTTTTTGCTGATTAAGTGGAGATGAGTCTTTTGGATTTGTCTGCCTGGGCTGGCTTTAAATCATGATTCTCAGATCTCAGCCACTTGAATAGCTAGGATTATAGGCTTGAGCTACCAGCCCCTGTCCTGGCACTGAACTTTTGAGCCATGCTCCCTAGCCCCTTTTGGGGGGGTTACTTATATATTTTGGATAAGGTCTCATTTTTTTCTAAGCTGGCCTAGTACTGCAGTCATCTTACTTAGGCTTCCTTTGTGTAGGTTAGATTATAGGAATGACCCACCATGCCCAGATGGCAGGGCGGTAGTCTCATTAACTTCTTTTGCTCATGCAGACCCCAAATCATAATCCTGACTTCTACCTTCTAAGGCGCTGGGATTGCAAATGTGTACTACTGTGCCCAGATCTTATTTAATTTATTCATGGACTCATTCATTTAGGCAACATTTCCCACCCCACCCCCCTTTGACAACCTGTAATGCATCAACTTTTATCTTTTTTTTTTTTTTGGGTCTGGTCATGGGGCCTGAACTCTGGGCCTGGGCGCTGTGTCTCAGCTCTTCAGCTCAAGGCTAGTGCTCTACCACTTGAGCCACAGTGCCACTTCCGGCTTTTTTCTTTTTGTTTATTTGGTGCTGAGGAATCAAACCCAGGGCCTCATGAATGCAAGGCAAGTGCTCTACCACTGAGCCACCTTCCCAGCCCCTCAAATTTTATCTTGACATTGAAGATGCTTGAAGAATTTTGAGCTTTGGAACGGCATGCAAGCACATTTTTTTAAACAAAAGAGTTATACATGTGAATGGATAAATGGACACAGAGTGGAGTGGTGGAGAGGATGGATGGATGGATGGATGGATGGATGGATGGATGGATGGATGGACAGACAGATGCATGTAATGAAGCTGATCAACAGGCAGCCCTGTGATGCTTGTAGAAGACTCAGGCAAATGAGACTGCCTTTCGTTGGGTCTGACACATCTGTGTGGTGAGCACAAGAAAGGCCTAGGAGCTCAGCAGGCCAAAGAATCTTCCTGCAGGGGTGCAATAGGGAGGGGAAGAGACTGTGTTTCTAGCCAGACCAAGGTAGGTAGGCAGGGGAGGAGAAGGAGTCTCAGACCTGGATTGCAAGATGCACTGTAGTTCCTGGAATGGCCACCAGGGGGCCAGGAGAAACACAGGATGGGCTGGTAGGGCAGACAGAGTTCAGTTACCTAACAGCTGGCAAGGGCAGTGGAAGGGAGGAACGGGGTGGGACTGGCAAAAGGAGAAAGGGGAGTGAGAAAAGGAGGGTGGGGGGAAAGTCTGAGGACTGAGTCTCAACAATGGGATCTACGGATCCCAAGTAAGAAGCTCCTGGTGGTGTGCTGTCTTCAGGGAAAAACAAAACCAAAACACAACACAAAAACAAAAACCGAGAGGCTATTTCTGCTCATGGACTGGCCAGCAGCTGGCTGTGCTTCCCTCCTGAAGGACATGAGACACTGAGTCCACAGAGCACCAACAAGGTCACCACGTGGCACAATCATGTGAGGTCGTCACATGATTCCCCCCAGACTCCTTCGTGATCCAAGTCAGTGTCCGAGGCCTCCTCTGCCATCTGGGAGGTTTCATCCTCACCTCCTCTAGAAAGTCTGTCCAGGACTGTCCGGGGTAGAGAGTCCCATCCTCTTTCTGTGTTTCCAGAGTGCTCCCCTCCCACCCCCGCCCAGCCCCTCTCCTTGCAGGAAGAGCAACACAACAACAAGAGCCAAAGCCGCCTCCATTACTGGGCCTAGCAAAGAGGCAGCAGAACCTAAATCCTCACTACTGCCTGGGGAACAATGGCTTCCTCTTGTCCAACCTCAGTTTCCTCATCTGATAGCTAGAGCTACCTCCTGGGGCTGCAGTGAACATAAAACAAGGTTTGTAAGGAACACACACACACACACACACACACACACACACACACACACACACACACACACACCCCTTCTGGAACTGACTAGGTCCTTCTTATATGGAACTGATGCACAGAAATATGGAATAATTTCCTCAAAGCACCTCAGCTAGCAAGCGGTAGAGTCACCACAAAGCTTTGGGCAAAGAGCTACATGATAGATACCTTAGGCCTTAAAAGCCAGGAATTCTGTCATAACCACCCAATCAGTGGGTACACTGTAAAAGCAGCCGTATGGCAACGAATGGGTGTGGCCGTGTTCCAATAAAACTTTATTTATACAAATCAAACAGTGGGCCAGATTTAGTTTGTTGAGCCCTGGCTCTCCATTGTGTCATTCACTACATGCATGGCAGATGGGGCTTTGTATAATGATCAGACTTGGTTCCCTGGCCCTAGATCAGTGCTTGGAATTTAGAATTTAAAAAATGTTTTTGAGTTGGAATGGAAGAAACTTAGGACACCTGAAGTTTAGGACATGCATGAGGTACAGAGACTTGAACAAGTCTTGCAGAACTGGGTGTCCTATTTTTCATTTTCTAGACAGGATGAGTAATGGCAGCTCTGCCTGTTTGACAGGGGACGGAGCTGGGCACACGTCTTGCAATATGGCTGTTATAAAACTCCTCTTCAGAGACAGGTGGAAGTTCGTCCTTGCTGGACCAAAGTTCAGACCCACCGTCCTCTAATCTCCAAGGATTGGTGGTGGTAGACGGCCTTGGCCACCTCCCCAGAGAAGGAGACTCAGATTTGTCTCGAGGTATTAATGAGATCACAATTTGTGCCTGGAAACAGGCAGCCTGGAGCCAGGCCCAGTCAATCATTGACACAGCGATCACACCTCAGCTGTCACCTTGCCGCCTGGATCAGAGCCCAGCACCACGGTGGCCAGCAAGGGCAGTTCTCTCAAGGCAGGCAGTCAACGTGGTCAAACTCACAGCTACCTTGGTTCAACTGGATCCTAAGGTGGAAAAACTGTGCAAAGATGGGCTGAGATCAAGTTCCTGATGGCTCATTTGCTTTCGTCTTTCATCCTGGATATAGATCCACAAAAAAGTGTAGCAATTTCACAAAGTGCTAAATGTAGTGAGAAAAGCAGTTCATATATCACCATCTCCAGGAAGGTCTGGCAGGCCCTTAGCACATTGCTTTTCAACACATGTTTGAGCAATGATTTGGTGATCATCTTCCTCAATACAAAGAGAGCTGTGAAGTGGTGGGAAGGTATGTGCTTCTACTGCACATTATACTTCTAGGACTAAAGGACAGCGCTTGATTACCTAACAGGCATGCAGGATGTATTGGTCAAGCATGTGAAGAAGGGAAGGAAGGGAGGAAAGAGCAGTCTAAGAGGGGCTTCCCAAGCTATCCAACAACCAATGTCGATTTATCTCATAAGAAAGTTCCCATCTCTCCCATTCACAGTCATCAAGAGAAAAAAAAAGCATAATTGATGTCACTGACCATTATGTGAAATGGCTCTTCCTAGAAAAAACATGTCTCATTCCTAGGTAACCTTGTGTATATTCTGACACACCATTGCATCTCTCCAGGGAAGGGGATGCATGCCCTCAGTTTAGAAGTAAAGACTTTTGTGTAACTGCGAAATGGAGATCAGGATTTTATGATTCTTAGAGGATTGGTGTGTGTGTGTGGGGGGGGGAATTTAGGGTCACAGAGACATAACAGGGATTTCCTCTCAGGTTACAGAATGATATCTGGTCTTTTAATTGATCATTTAACAAGATCACATCTGTTTGTTGTCACCTTGGAGGGTGCCTAAGGAAAGAAGGTTGGGACTGCTTCTGCCTCCTAAACTGAATCCTCAGATCGGCTTGCTGATTGGTTGGGAGCAAATTAAATATTGGTGTCTTTGTTCCTCCAATGGGAAGAATAATCATATCTTATACTATGCCATTGATGTGCAGATTTCATGGAAATGCAGCTCTCAGTACAGCATCTTTCTTGACCTTGGTTCAGTGATGAACTGCTGTGAGCATTCATAGTTTAGACGGGTGGGGGAAATGGTGACCTTGGTCTTGACCTTGGTCTTTCAAGGCTGGTTACCGATACAAGACAGGGTTGGCTGCTAGTTCAGGAGGAAACCTTGGTTAGGTATATTGAACTCTCTCTCAAACTCTCTCTGGCTCTTTCTCTTTCTCTCTCCAGGAGTAGTTGAATCTGCAGCTTTGGTAGTTTGGTTGAGAAGACAAATTAGCCAGAAAGCATTTTTGTTCAACAGCAGCCAGCAGGTGGCAGACTTCGTGAAATCGAGGCCCCTGGTCATCGTGGGTTTCTTCCAGGTACGGGGGTGTGGGAGGGGTGTGTGTGTGGAGGAGGTGGAGGTAGGGATGGGGATGGGGGAGGGGCTGTGGGGGGGCTGGAGGTGGGAGATGATTTTTCCAGTTGAGGAGTGCTCTGTCTAAAAGTGAGTGGGGTTGTTCGGAGCCCCATTTTCCCTATCCAGTCAGCTGGTTTTACTTGAGGTCAAAAAAACAACGGAGCCATGAGAGTTGAACTGTTAAGAGATGGTAGAATGGTAGGTAGGAAAGGAAGAATGAAGAGATAGATGTATTTATTGAATTGGTCTTGGGGATTTTCATTTAGAACATCATAGAATGGAGGAATGTCTTCATTTTCGAGTTTGGGAACCACAGCTTTCTATGAATCTGAATAGCAGCTGCCAGCCTGCTTTGGCCAAGCCAAGCTCCATCCTGAAGACTTTCCAAGCATCTTTAGAAAGGAAAACCTTTAGGGCTTTATAAGCATGCACCCATTTGAAGACTACCCCAGCCCTCATCACAGGTGGAGCGAGGGCAGATGTTGGTGAAAGTGTATGGAGAACCTAAATATGAATATGAAATGACCTGGGGTAACAGTCTAGTGATTTCATTGTTTTTTTAATATTTAGAATTTATAGTTTTTATATTTAGAAAGACAAAATTCATTTGCTTTTTAGAAAAATGAGCTTCTCATAAATTTTAACTAATTTAAATGGATGACCACCCCCTCTCCAGTAGGTCAGAATTTTAACATCTTATGTGGAAAGAAAATGGGGAGAAAATGTGCTTCTTTTCTTCCCCCTCCTCATCCCCACTTTTATCCTCCTAGACTAATTTTGGCCCCAATTTTCTCTCAAGCTAATGAACAAAAGCAGAAATTCTAGCTGTATCTTGAATGGCAAGTTCATATTTGGTTTTCTATCTGTTCAAATCCATTGCATCTTCTGAAAGTAATTAAGGATTAAGGAATTAATGTTAAAACTCTCAATCCTTGGGTTAGGACAGGCTTTAATTATATATGAATCTCATCTATTTTATTGATGATTCTCAAAAAAACCTTTATTTTTAATAATTGGAAAAGATGAAGATAGCTCTTTCCACTGGTCTCTGAGAATTTGCCTGTGTGGACTTTATCCATAGGTAGAGAAGCATTTAGAATAGGAAGTAGAATCCATATGTTTTTGGGAGACAGCAGAAGCAACCCCCAGGATTTGGAAAAAGGAAGGTTACAGATTGTCTACCATTTCTATCTTCTTAATTCAACCAGATAAGCTTAAATAAAAGCTAGGCACCAGTAGTTCATGCCTGTAATCCTAGCTACTTAGGAGGTTGAGATCTGAGGATCACAGTTCAAAGCCAGCATGGGTAAGAAAGTCTGTGAGACTCTTATTTTTGATTAACTATCAGAAAATCGGAAGTGAAGCTGTGGCTCAAAGTGATAGAACCCTAGCCTTGAGTGAAAGAGCTCAGGGACAGTGCCCAGGCTCTGTATTGAAGACCCACAACTGACCAAAGAAACAAGCAAAAGAAACCAAAACAAACTTAAATAAGCTTTTTTACCAAAGCCTTACCCAACATGCTTTTCCCAACAGGACTTAGAGGAAGAAGTAGCAGAATTGTTCTACGATGTGATCAAGGATTTCCCAGAGCTGACGTTTGGGGTGATAGCGATCCGGAATGCCTTTGGACGTTTTCATGTTGTCTTGGACAGCGTCCTGGTGTTCAAAAAGGTAGGACAGTCCTGTAGCTGGTGGAGGATGAGGAAGGGTGGTGTGCTCTGGTTCAAAGTTAGTAGGAAGAGGTATGAGCTCTGAACAAACTTTGGCTCTTAACTACTCACGTGCCACTCAACTCGTGTGAAATCTGTTTCCTGGTGGGTTTTTATTGCTTATTTTTTGGTCCGGTCGTGGGGCCTGAACTTTGGGCCTGGATGAGTTTTCTTTTGCTCAGTGTGCACTTGAGTCACACCTCTGCTTCCAGCTTTTGTAGTACTTAATTAGAGATAAGAGTCTCATGGACTTCCTGCCCAGGGCTGGCTTTGAACTAGGATCCTCAGATCTCAGCCTCCTGAGTAGTTAGGATTACAGGCACCAGCCACCAGCACCCTGCAGGAATGTAGTGTAGGAGGTGGGTTGGAAGGGAAGCCAGGGGAAATGGGAAGGCTGTGGAAGAACATTGCAAGAGCCCAGATGAGAGATGTGTGGACCAGTGTGGGATGGTTGAGGGTCGGGGAGAAGATGGGCTAGAAATGAAAAGATAACTTCTTCTCTTCCTTACAGATTTCGCCATAAGAATCCTTTCATTCTCTTGGGCAATCCACATCCCTCTGAGAAGCAGTTACCTAGCAAGATTTAAGGATAGCAAGAATATTTACTAGGGGAAATGTCTCAGAAAGGAAGCAAAGAGGTTGAGAAGACTTAGAGAGCCATTAGACCATGATGATGTGTTGGGAGGAAGGGAGATGGATGGATGGGACTTCAGTCCATCAGTGTTGCCTATCAGAGAGGTTCTGAATCTCCCTGAATCTTCCTTGATGCCCTCAGCCATTGGGTGACAGACATGTGACACAACCTCATCATAAATATGTCAGTGTGTTTTAGAGCACAGCAGTTGGGGGATGTTGGTCAATTAAGAGATGACCATGGCATTCGAAATCTGAGATTTCACAGTTACCACATATCCATAATTACCCATATGATCATTTGCTCAGTGTTTATAATGACCGGGTACCTGGACTATGTTTTACATCTGTCAGCGTCCTTACTGTTTTACTTTCCTCCAGGGAAAAATTGTGCTATTTATTTTTATTGTACATGCTATTTATTGTATGTGCTGCTTATGCTTATTGTATGTATTGCTGAAGCTTCCCTTCAATGCCTTTCTTTCTTTTTGTCCAAGGGAAATTTGGTGAAACGCCGAGAGCTTATCAATGACAGTACCAACAAATATGACCTCAATCAAGTCATCAAGCAGCACCTTACTGATTTTGTGATTGAATACAATGCTGAGGTGAGCAGGCCCGGGGTTCTCGGGAGGACAGCTGGGGCGGTGGCATGTGCGCTCTCAGGATGACCTGTTTTCCTTGTAATTGCAGAACCGGGATCTAATTTACGAATTACGCATCTTAAGCCACATGTTGCTGTTTGTCTCCAGAAAGTCTGAGTCATTTGAGATCATAACTCAGCATTATAGACTGGCATCAAAGGAATTCCAAAATAAGGTTTGTGGAGTGTGCCATCACTCTTGCTCTTGGGGGATCCTGGTTGGGGGGGGCACAAGTCCTGCAGACCCGAAGGCCATTTATCCTGCTCTGCTTATTTGCATGTATATAATACGATATATGATATGCACAGTAATATGTTATAGTATAATATAATATAACATAATATATAATATAGCATGTATAAAATAACATAATAGTATAATCTAATGCATTATACTTTATACTACATAAGCATTAGACGTACATATAATATATACAACTATAACATATATGTCATATAATACATTACATGTTATATAATTATATATTACTTATATACACATAGTATATATTACATATATAACATAAAAGTATATTTTGTAATGCATTATGTTATATGTTACATATAACATTATGTAACATATAGCTATATGTAATTTAAATTAAAAAATTATTTTTAGGTAGTTGTACAAAGGGATTTCCACTTGAGAGCAATGCCTCTGGATCAGTGACATCCTATCATTCTTCTCTGCAGGTGTATTTATATAGCTATTTTTCTGATCTGCACATCAATGCTATTATAGTATTTGCTAGTTTTCTTTTAAATCCATGTGCTGCCTTCCTCTCTTCCTTTTGTGGCCAAGCCTTTAACTTTTCATTCATGTACCTTTTTAACAAGTTTACTATGGAAATGTAATGGCTGGCTGTGTTTCTGCAGGCCCCCTTTCTCTAAGAGGGGGAAATGGCAGGATGGTAGCAGAGGTGAGGGTCAAGAAGGACCACACTTGTCTGTGGTCAAGGAACATGAGCAGCCTGAAGCACAGATGTCTCCACTGGCATCCTGGACCCTCATACCACACAGAGTTGAATTCAAGTTTTTTCTTCTTCTTCTTCTTCTTCTTCTCCTCCTTCTCCTCCTCCTCCTCCTCCTCCTCCTCCTTTTTTGTCAGTCATGGGCCTGAACTCTGGGCCTGGGCACTGCTCTTCAGCTCAAGGCTAGTGCCTACCCCTTAAGTCCTAGTGCCACTTCTGGATTTTTCTGCTTATGTGGTGCTGAGGAATTGAACCCAGGGCCTCATGCATGCGAGGCAAGCACTCTACCACTGAGCCACCTTCCCAGCCTCAAGTTTGTCTTCCTTTTACAAACTATATGGAGAGCTTCTTGACCTCAAGGCTCCAGACTGCTCATGCACAAAACAGAGCATTGTTGTAAGAACTAGAAAATCTAAATCCTGCCATCCTGGAGACGGAGTTAAGATTGATTGTTAATTCAGACCAGTCTGGGCTATGTAGTAGTAGTAGTAATAGGAAGAAGAATATCTTCACATACAGCAATGAGCAAAAGCAAATTCATAAGGTTTATGGATATCACTGACATTATCATCATTAGAAACAAATCTGTTTTTTTTCCTAAGCCAATATGTAGTGTTTTTTTCCTGTGCCTATATGTAGTGTCCTGACACCACTGGCACTATCAGGCTATTCACTTCTTATTCTCTTTATTTTTATTTATCAATTCATTTATTTATTTGTGTGTGTATGTGTATGTATGTGTGTGTGTGTGTATGTGTGTGTGTGTGTACATGTGCGTGTGTGTGCCAGTAATGGTGCTCACACTTGGGGCCTGGGTTCTACCCCTTAGTTTTTTCACTCAAAGATAACACTCTATGGCTTGAGCCACAGCTCCACTTCTGGCTTTTTGGTGATTAATTAGAGATGAGTCTTCAGGACTTTCCTGCCTTGGCTGGCTTTGAACCTCACTCCTCAGATCTCCGCCTCCTGAGTAGTTAGGATTACAGGTGTGAGCCACCAGAGTCTGACCCCTCTTTATTTCTCTAAGAACTATGACAGCCAAGTACTAATGGCTGCTGCCCACCTAGGACTTTGGGCAGGAAACCTTCATTAAGTCAGGAGTGCTCCCTAGACCCTATGCTTCACATCTTGTTAGTTACAACTCCTCTGAAAGACAAGGTCCTGAAAGACAAGATTTTATTTTTTTTTGACTTGGCAGATCCTTTTTATCCTTGTGGATTCAGATGAACCCAAAAACAAATTTGTCTTTGAGTACTTCCGGATCACAGAAGTCGACACTCCATCTGTCCAAATCCTAAACTTAAGCTCTGATGCCAGGTACAAAATGCCTACAGATGATATAACCTATGAAAACCTCAAGAAATTTGGCCGCAGTTTCCTGAATAAAAATGCCAAGGTAAGCTTGTTCTTAGTTAAGTTTTATACAGAACTTCAAGATTATTCCTTGTATTTTTTTTTAAACTAGCTTTGGTCAGATGTAGCATATAGCTCATGGCTTAATGTGGGGAAATTCCTTCTAGTTCTTCATCTTGATTCTGTCCAGCTTTTTGGCTTCTCCTGAGTCTATCCTATCCACATTATGTCTTTAGTTGTAATAATGGCTTTTTGGGGGGGGGTCCGGTTGTGGGGCCTGAACTCTGGGCCTGGGCGCTGTCCCTCAGCTCTTCAGCTCAAGGCTTGTGTTCTACCACTTGAGCCACAGCGCCACTTCTGGCTTTTTTCTTTTTGCTTATGTGGTGCTGAGGAATCGAACCCAGGGCCTCATGCACGCAAGGCAAGAGCTTTACCACTGAGCCACCTTCCCAGCCCAATAATGGCTTTTTTGTGTGTGCTGGTACTGAGGCTTGAACTCAGAACTGAGTGTTATCCCTTAACTCCCCTCTCCCCGGGTTGATACTCTATTACTTGAGCCACAACTCTACTTCTGGCCTTTTCTGATTTATTGGAAATAAAGGACTAGAACTGCAGACATTCTGCAGAGCTAATTAATCTGGATAGCGTCCCTAACCCCTCCCCTCCCCCTATGTCTCTAACCTAAAAGACATACTTGGCCCAAGGGTAGATATTTGGATTGGGGAGGTGAAAGGTTAATGCCCATGGAACAATCAGAATTTGCCTCCAAGGCCTTAGGGACAACTAATGGTGACAAACAGACTTTGTTGCAAAGAGGAGGGAAAGCCCCAGGCAAGCTAGTCACCTCTGTTGGTTCAGCACTGCTCTCCTGAGCAGGGGACCCATATTATTTATATTCCAAACTGGGAAAAAAGCAGGGCTGTTCTTTATAGTATTATTCACCCAGACTCTATGGTGACCTCTGGAGTGTTTCCATTCCCTTCTGTCTGGCCCCTCCTCCCCATCTCCCAGGACGCTGTGGCCTTGTCAAATGGAAGGTGTTCTCCGATGCACCTGTCCTCCTCTGCCATTCTGCTGGGGGTCTAGCTGGGCTGGGAGGAGGGATGGCTGATAAATGTAAAAGCTGGGAAGTTACAACAGAGGCCCAAATTGCAAGGGCTCCATAAATGTGCACCTTAAGGTGGATTGGACATGCTATGCCCCCACAGGAAGCCAGACCTGCCTGATTCCAAAGAAAGCCCCTTTGTGTAGAAAATATGGTGAGGATTGGTAGCGTTGCGAAGAGAGAACTGGGAATCTGCTCCAGGGCCCTTTGGGGACTGATGGGAACCACCAAGGCTGTGGGGAGCTAGGGGGCCAATGGCAGGAAAGGAGTGGATGTAGGAGATAGTGAGGAGGCAGTGGGAGGAGAGAAAAAAACATGTTCTGAGACTTTCAACTCTTGCTTTGAACAGAAGAGCTGAGTTCATTCTCTCACTTATCCATCGGCAAAGCATTTATTGAGGTCCTATTATGTACTGGGTAGTGGATTCTCAATGATTGAAGTCCTTTATGACATTCCATCTCATGGGATTGAGTCACTCTGAATGAGATGGACAGAAAAGCAACTCTACATGATAAACGAACAGGACCTCAGCTGCCCTGGGTAGGGGCTGGAGAGCATCAAAGACATTTTCTCTTGAGATCATTCTCAAGGGTAAATTTGGGTTAACAGGGCCAGGAAGGGCGAGTGGCCTTTCAGGTGTAGGTCTCTGTCTCTAGAATAATGGGACATGTGGTGTTGTTTCTCTGATGAGATATGGTTGGGCCTTGTGGGGTTTGCTTCCTAGAAACACGAACCCAGTGAAAACATCCCGAAATATTGGAACCAGGGTCCGGTGAAGCAGCTAGTGGGGAAGAACTTCAACATCGTTGTCTTCGACAAGGAGAGGGACGTGTTCGTGATGTTCTGTGAGCATCGGGTCCCAGGGGCGGTGGAGAGCACAGGATCCCCAAGCTGACTTTGGGTTCAAGTGTCATTCCTGAGTTCTTAAGCAATGCCATCTCCCCAATCCACCATGTACCACTGTAACAATGGTCCCAGGGGAAAGGGGAGGTGGAACCTACAATCCCAAGAGGTTGGATCACAATGCTATTTTCCAGTACCCCGCTTCCTCTGGCCAAGTGAGTTCTTAGAATACAATGGCATGCTGCCCAGATAATCCAGGTCTGTGGCAATTTATAAACATAGTAATGTTGGAGAGCTCATATGGCTTGGCTGGCTGTTCCTTATTGGACGCATTGCCTATCTTCTGTCATTTAATCATCTTGATGCTGTCTCCTCCCTTCTATGGACCATTCATTACACAGAATCTCCTGGAGCAGAAGGTTCTAGTATGACACAGCTCATAAGTGCTGGAGGGAGGGTTTCAACCTACTCTTGTGTCTAGAGTTCCTTTAGCCTTGGTCTTTTTACATAACTTATCCAGTGGCCCAGTTGATGTGTAGACCTTCCCATTTACCACATTTACACTCGTCAAACAACAACTATTTATCATCATCATTACTACTACTATGACTATTACTATTAGAATTATTTCTAGAGCTCACCTAAGGGCCATTACCCTTTCCTACAGTTTCTGCTTGGCCGATGAAGAGCCAGTGAGAATAGAGAAGATGACTCTGAAATAATTTCAACTGTCATCTTTTATTTTGTCAGGGAGAGTTACTGAATGGTCACTGACCAATGAGTCAGGCAGGTGCTTGGCAAAATGTTTGTGGTTAGTCAGTGCCTGGGGACGGTGGTTTTCTTCGTGACACAGGTTGAGGGAGTCCAGCCTCAGGGAGGTTCATCACCTTACCCAAAGTCACACCGTAAGGAGGAAGGACAAAGGTCCAGCAGGAGGGCTGTGCTGCCACTGGACTGATTGTGTCTGATTTTATAATCATGCCCCATAGTCTTGTCCACAGAGCTGGGTGTTTGAGGTCTGTGTAGTTAAATCAGGGTAATTTACTGCCTTTCAATGACAGTCCAGGGTGGCCTTTCTCTACTTCCTGATACCTGGAGTTCTGAGAAGGCAAAGTACCTTCATTTTCTTGGAAGCAAGCCTGTCAGGCTGGCTCTCGGGGGCAGTAGCCATTATGCCCCCTTCCTGTTCCCACCCAGGGCATGTGGAGCTCCAGGGGTGCTGCTGGCAGAGAGCCTGGCCATGGAGACACTTAGATCAGAAATAAGGAAATGATGATGTAGTGTGGGGGCTTTGGGGACCATTCCTCCAACACAGCCAGAAACCTGGAGCTTTAAAAGAAGGATGGAGGTTTGTTGTTGGTTTTTTTTCCCCAATGCACTCTCCCCTCCCCACCCCATGCAGAGATTAAAGGACTTTCCATGAGTAAGTCCAGAGGCTTGAACTCAGGGCCTCTCCTGTTCTTGCCTGGCTTTTTCATTCAAAGCTGGTGCTCTACCATTTGAGCCACCCCTGCACTTTTTGCTGGTTATAAGTGGAGAGGAGAATCTCATGGACTTTTCTACCCAGGCTGTCTTCAAGCCATGATCCTCAGATCTCAAGTCTCTTAATAGCTAGGATGATAAGCATGATCACCATACCCAGCTGTAGTAAATCTTTCTAAGTTGAAGTGACACGGCTTCAAAATCCTCTAACTATAGGATGATCTTGGCTAAGTAGCTTAGCCTCTGTCTGAAAAATCTCTGTGTTGTACCACACACACACACTTTGTGGCAGAAGGTACAATATAAATATTTTCCTTGTTTTTCTCCTCCAACTGGAGTGGAACACTAGAAAAGAAGGAATTTTGAAAACATAACAAAGAAGAAAACGTTAACACATGTGAAGTGTTGATATCTTGGGTGGAGAAGGTACTAGGGTCATTTTTCCCCCTTCAGTTTATTTAATAATGATTAAGACCTGAGCTGTAAAAATAATGTGCTATATGAGAAAAAAATTCAATTTGCATAGCATCCCCACCGTAAAAAGAACACAGTGATGGCATAGTTATAGGGCTTGAACTCAGCACATGGGCACTATCCCTGAGCTCTTTTGCTAAAGGCTAGAGTTCTACTACTGTGAGCCACAGTTCTGCTTCCAGAGATAAGAGTCTCGTGGACTTTCCTGCCAAGACTGGATTCAAACCACAATCCTCAGATCTTAGCTTCCTGAATAGCTAGGATTACAAGGCCTGGCTAGCAACCTTTCTTTTCTTTTCTAGATGCGCCCTGGTCTACGAAGTGCAGAGCTCTGTTCCCGCTGCTGGAGACGTTGGGCGTCAAGTATCAAAACCACACCACAATCACCATTGCCAAGATCGACATCACAGCCAATGATATCCAACTCTCCAACCCGGACCGGTACCCATTCTTCAGGCTCTTCCCCACCAACTCTGAACAGGTGAAAGGCCCTGGGGGACCTCCCACCCAACATAGTGGGAAATGCTGCCCTGTTTATCATCAGGGGGTTGACTTCCCTTTCTCTCCAGCTCTGCCTTCTACCATACCAGCTCCTTTCTCAGCTCCAGTCCCCAGGAAGCTGTCATGTTCAAGTTTACTTTCAAGTAGCTGCAGTTCCAAGACATATAACTCAAAACAAATTACTCATTGACTTCATCATTATACCAAATGGGGATGTGGACTGTAGTCTCCCAGACTGCACAGAATATTGAGGATGGGGTGGTATCCCATGAGACACATAATGATGACGATCTTCACTGATCCATCACCAGGACTGACAATGCTCTGCACACTGCCCTGGCCTATGGGGAACAGTGCCAATCAAAAAAGCTTGAGCACAGGTCCCTACTCCTGAGAAGAGTGTTGGGACCATCTCTAAAGGCAGTGGGAATTGAGGAGAGGATAACACTGAATTCAGATTCAAGGAAGGTCCATGATCTGTAGGTAGGACACATGGTATGAATGAAGAGATGGGCAGGAAGGTAACCTGAACACCTGTCATGATGATGCCCTTCTGGTGCAGAGGCTGAAAGTGGGGAAATTGTGGCAAATGTGTCTGGGTGGAGAGTGTGAGACTAAGAGTCAACGAATGATCTGAGTTACCTGAAAAAGAATACAGTCAACCAGTGACAGGGAATGGCTTCTTGACCTTCTTAAAGACTAAAAGAGTGCCGGGAACCAGCGGTTCATGCTTGTAATCCTAGCTACTCAGGAGGCTGAGGCCTAAGGATCATGGTTTGAAGTAAGCTTGGGCAGGAAAGTCCATGAGACTCTTATCTCCAATTAGCCACTAAAAAGCCAGAAGTGGAGCTGTGGCTCATGTTGTCAAGCACTAACTAGTCTTGAAAAAAAAGTTCACAGACAGCACCCTGGCCTTGAATTCAAGCTCTAGGACTAACACACACACACACACACACACACACACACACACACACACACACACACACATATCTGTGCTGTGACACCTACCATGGAGAAATACTAGCTCTCTTTGAGAGACTCATGTGAATGAAGGCACCCATTCAACCTCATGTAGACTGTTAGGAATTTGAACCAGGGTGACTCAGGAGCAATTCATACACAACTGGCTGAAGAAGTGGTACCCATGCTTTCACTCTTGCTTTGTTCTCTTCCCAGGCTGTTCTGTATCAAGGAGAGCATACTCTGGAAGGATTTTCTGACTTCCTGGAAAGCCAAGTCAAGGTTCAGACTGAGGATGAGGTACAGGGAAAACAGCAATTTTCTCCCACTCTCAAAATTATTAAGAACTCCACAGGGGAAAAAAGTGTGTCCAGAGTTCCATGTTCTTGTGCTCTCTGGAGATGGCTGAGACAACCCCCCCCCAGTTTAAGGGAACTTTCTGGGCTTCCTTTCAAGGGTGTTGATGGCGTGGGAGTAGCAATGGGAGACTTTAGAAATGCTAGGAAGAATGAAACGTGCGAGGTAACAAAACTCCCAAGGCTGCTACCCAGAGTCCACTTTCCAGAAACTGTAAACAAACCCAGACACCTCTGCCTTTATTCTCCAGGAACCACAAGCTCTTTGTCTCATGAGACCATCTTTTGGAAGGTTCCATTTGTATGAATTCTCTTTCGGTTGTAAAGGTCAAAGACACTATTCCACTGTGTCAGCAAGGATGGAAACTCATTCCATGTAGCTGGTAGGATGTCTGGCATGTATACTCCCTGGAGGCCCAAGATGACCCTACAGCTCCAAACTACGACTTAGCATTTGCAGAAAATATCCTGGACAAGGATCTCAGTAACTGAGCCTGTAGTTGGGGATTTAACAGACACTCTTGTGGACTTAGAGTAGAAGAATGGGCCCATAGCAGTGTCATAGTTAGGCACTATTGTACCACCTTGCTTCAACTATGAAGACTGTCTCTCTAGATACATCTAGAAAAAGAGCCTGACAGTGCACAATTAGGACACCTAATTATGTGATATGTTTCCCCTCTTGCTCTCTCTTCCCTTTACCCTTTTCCTGAATAGCTATTACCCTTTGAACAAAATGAAGAGCTGGAAGAGGAGGTGATAGTTGAGGACCAGGAGGAGGAAGAGTTACCTGAGCAGACGTTGCCTGAGCAGAAGGTCCCTGAGCTGAAGAACATGACCAAGCTGGAAATATCAGCAGGACAACAGAAAACAGCTAAGGAGGAGGAGAAGGAGGTAGCTAAGCCAAAGGGACCTCCAAGACAGGAGAAGAAACCGAAAGTCAAGGAAGAACTTTAGCTTCTTCAAAGCCAGGAGAGAAGGGGGCCCATCTCCTAGGCCCTTTCATTCCCTGCATGGATTTATTCCAATAATACTATATATTGTTGTGGTGGGGCGAGTGGGGGTAGGCTAATAAACCCCGTGAATGTCTCCTGCCTTGTTTTCCTCCCATGAGCTCCTTTTCCTGCTTGGTGTTGCCTTAAGAGAGCTGTTTGGCCTGGAATTCAGCCAAGGCTGCTGTGGAGGTCATGATGGCGACCTTGAATGAGTGTTTACTCTCTGTAGGGTCTTCCTCTAGTTCTGTAACATTACTGGTGGCTGCATTTTGGTTTTTATTTTGCTTTGTTTTTGTTCCCATGTACGGGTAGGGAAATCAAGGTACAGTGAGGTTAAACTGTGATCACCCAGCTGGAGCTGTTGAGCTACATCCTTTGCAATCTTGGTTTGAGGGACTGCGAGCTTCATGCACTGTCTCCTTCTACGTTGTGGTGATCCAGGTTTGGCTAAACCTTTCAGATCAGGTTGAATGGATTGGCTTATGCTGCATATTGGCATAGAAAGACATCCATCCCCAAAGCTGTCCCCAGCATGCTACACTGCAGTAAGTCAATGAAGACACGTGGCCAAAGTGATCTCCCAGGACTGAGCCACAAGCCAAGTTGGCCACATGTCTTCATTGTCACCTCTCAAGCTCCTCACCTTCGCCACACCTGCACAGTCCTTTTTGTTCTATAAGGTACTGGTCATGGGTTCCAGGGACTAGCCATAGGGGATAGGTATACTTGGGGGGGGGTCCCTTATGGTAACACTACTGATTTATCAACTGTGTTTCAAGCAGGTGCTCCTGGGACTTGGGACAAAGGGCTTTTAAATAAATTTTTTGGACTATTCCCTGTGCTACACATCACATAAGGCCAACATTGTGCTTTCTCAGATGTCGAGTTCCCCCACCCTGCCTTCCCTGGGGCCCTGGAACTCACGGGAGCTCAATGGCTCAGCAAGGGGCCAGGAGTTAGTATTCAAGACACGTGTGCAAGGCTCACCTGCTTCCACCTCAAGGTGGGAGGTAGGGTTGGGGGGGGGTGCTGAGAATCACATGGAACAAAACCATTGTCCAGGGAACAGCTAGGCCTCCTACAAAATCTCCAGGGGAAGGGGTGTGAGTGGGGAAGGCAGCCCCGGGAGACAGGCCGAGTGATAGCCCTCGATAGGGAGGGTCTTCTGCAACTTTCCAACAAATCTGATTCCCCCCCCAATAACCCCATCCCTTAGTTCTATCCCTACCCTCCCCACTTCCCCCCAAACCTTGGAATGTTCTATACCTCAAGTACATTGGAGGGGCAAATCTGAGCAAGACTTTGGGTCTTCAATCTGGAGTTAGCCCTAGCGGAGCAGTGTGTGATCTTGAGGAAGTTCCTCAACCTCTCTGAACTTGTGTTCTCCCTTGTTGCCATGGTTTCCCTGTTTTGACACAGTGGAGGCGGAAACGCAGATGTGGTATGTGAAAGCTCTCCTGTCAAGTCTCCTGCCTTTGTTAGGAGTGAAGACAGAAGGTCTTTTCAAGTGACTGAGTGTCCTTTAAAAAAAAAAGGACCAACAAAACTAAATATTGATTGGGCACTGCCATGAAGCTAGATAAGGAAAGTCTCAAAATGTCTTTGGGAACAGGAGCGCCTTTGAAAGTCATGATGAACAGCTCCAGCCAGCCTGGATATTCTTTTTTTTTTTTTTCATGGGACCTGAGCTCTGGGCCTGGGCGCTGTCCCTCAGCTCTTCAGCTCAAGGCTAGCACTCTACCACTTGAGCCACAGCACCACTTCTGGCTTTTTCTGTTTATGTGGTGCTGAGGAAT